ATGGAGCACCGGTGCAGGGAGGAGGGGCGGGGTGTGCACGGCGGTGGGGGGCCAACACCGCCCACCTCGAGGCCCTTCAGGCGCTAAGGTCTCAGCCCTCGTGCAGCGGGGCCAGCTCCCGGGAAGGACATGTTACTTTTTTCTCTGTGTTTATGGGGGAGCAGGACCCTCTCCTGTACTGGAAGGAGGCTCAGGCCTGGAAGCTACCAGGTGCCAGGCTGCAGCATCAGGGATGTGGAGGAGCCGGAGTGTGGGGCCCCTGAGGCATAGCCCATACAGAGGACAGTGTCTGCTCAGATCCAGGAGATTATTGCCATATACAATGTGGGCTGAGGGTTGCCTGATTTTTCTGACTTCCCCAAAGTAGAAGTCCAGATTATTATTTTCTTCTTGAGAAAAAAAATACATCTCTTTTTAAAAATGTATATATTTATTTTGATTTCAAGGAGGAAGGGAGAGGGAGAGATAGAAGCATCAGAGATGAGAGAGAATCCTGGATCTGCTGCCTCCTGCACACCCCACACTGGAGATGGAGCCCCCAACCCAGGCCTGTGCCCTGACTGGGAATCAAACTGTGATCTCCTGGTTCATAGGTTGATGCACAGCCACTGAGCCACCCCTGCCGGCTGTAAGTCTTAAACTAACACCGTGAGGAACACAAGTAACAAGCACAAACCCGCTGCTGCGGCCGGACTCCATGGTCTGTCCTCTCGGAGCGCGGCAGACCCTGCTGGGAGGCCTTTGCCTGAAACCAAGAGCTGGGGCTTCCCTGCACTTGGCTAGCACAGGGCTCTGTGTACTTAGGAATCCTTGATGCTGTATTTACACACACAAAATACATTTTACACATGTAGCACCAGCAGTGCCTGCCATCCTGGACCATCAGGAAATGTCTGTATTTTTGTCTCTTCCCAGTCAGCGTACCTGCCTCCTGAATCCCCTTATTTGTATGAGGGGGCGGGTGTCCTTAGAGGGCTTGGCGTCACACAGGCACAGTCCGAGCATCGCCTGTGACGGGCGAAGGGAGCGGCCAGCAAATGCGGATGGTCTCAGCCGGAAGGGGGCTTCTTGTGTGACGGGCCGCACCCTCTCGCTCAGGAGTTCCAGAAGGAGCTGAGCCAGTGGAGGAAGGACCCCAGCGGGAGCAAGAAGAAGCCCAAGTACTCCTACAAGACGGTGGAGGAGCTGAAGGCCAAGGGCAGGACCAGCAAGAAGCTCACCGCTCCCCAGAAGGAGCTTTCGCAGGTCAAGGTACGTGGGCCTCGACACGGGCCAGGCGGGGGCGCCGGGACCAACGCCACAGCCAGCGGCCGCCCCGGACAGGGCCTAAGGCCCCTTCGGGACTCGGACTCTTTCTCCCCCCAATCCTGCTTTTCTCACTTGCTAGCAGCCTATTCCCTTCACCTGCTCACACGATCATGTGAGCTGTGCACCCACCTGCCTGAAGCTCACGGCCAGGGAGGTGTTAGACTCCCGTGGGCGTCTCTTCGCTGCACACACACACAGACAGCCGTGCTGCGACTGGTCCCCTTATTGCCAGACCTTTACCTTTTCCCAGCTTGGTGTGGCTTGGCTTTTAGACAGGCTGGTCTGTGCATGAAGCCATGTCTTTGTTCCATTTTTAAAAAAAAATAAATTTTATTGATTTTGTACAGAGAGGACGGGAGAGATAGCAAGTTAGAAACATCGATGAGAGAAAGTCATCGATCAGTTGCCTCTTGCACACCCCCTACTGGGGATGTGCCTGCAACCAAGGTACATGCCCTTGACCAGAATTGAACCCGGGACTTTTCAGTCCCCAAGCTGACGCTCTATCCACTGAGCTAAACCGGTTTCGGCTCTTTGTTCCATTTTTGAGGGTAGATTCTCAGAAGTACAACCACCAGGTAAAGGACAGGCTGGTCTTTAAGGCTCTAACACTGGGGAGGGTTCAGGTGAGGGTGCCGGACAGTCCTGTCCGCTTAAGAGCAGATTCTATTGGGCACACTTCCCCTTGCAGCCTGTCTTCCCGGCCTTGTGCCTGTCTCGCGGGCAGCAGTGACGGTGCTAACCTGTCGCCTGCCCTCTCCAAGGTCATAGACATGACGGGCCGGGAGCAGAAGGTCTACTACAGCTACAGCCAGATCAGCCACAAGCACAGCATCCCGGATGACGGGCTGCCACCGCAAGCCCAGCCACCGCCGCTGTCCGGCAAGGAGGCCCGGGCCCCGGGCTTCGCGCTGCCCGAGCTGGAGCACAACCTGCAGCTGCTCATCGACCTGACGGAGCAGGAGATCATCCAGAACGACCGGCAGCTGCAGTACGAGCGGGACATGGTGGTGAACCTGTCGCACGAGCTGGAGAAGATGGCGGAGGTGCTGGAGCACGAGGAGCGGGCCATCGCCAACCTGAGCGAGGTGCTGGAGCTGGTGGAGAGCTGCGAGCGGCGCATGCAGCCCGGCTGCAGCCACCCGCTCACGCTGGCCGAGTGCGCCCGCGTCTTCGAGACGCTGCAGGACAAGTACTACGAGGAGTACCGCATGGCCGACCGCGGGGACCTGGCCGTGGCCATCGTCTACCCGCTGGTGAAGGAGTACTTCCAGGAGTGGGACCCCCTCAGAGTGAGTCCTCGGGGACGCCCGCCCCGCCTCTGCCGGCCGGCGGGCCGGCGAGCTTGTCCCGGGGCGAGGGGGCCGCAGGGGCGCCGCTCAGCCGCTCTCCTCCCGCAGGACTGCACCTACGGCACCGAGATCATCTCCAAGTGGAAGAGCCTCCTGGAGAACGACCAGCTCCTGTCACACGGCAGCCAGGACCTCTCGGCGGACGCCTTTCACAGGTGGGCGGGCTGCTCCCTGCCTTCTGCCCCAGGCTGGCACTGCTGGGGACTTCACTCCTCATTCCCTGCTTCGCCCTACGCTTGTCGAGTGTGTGCTGGGGGTCATGCGTGGGCCAGGCTGACCCTGGGAGTGAAGCAGCCAGCCTCACTGTTCCTATGGCAACTGGAAAAGGCAGACAGTGGATAAGGCAGGGAATGAGGAAGGCGCACCCCTCTCTGGGGGAGGTTTGAGGCAGAGGGCTCCAGGGACATTTAATCTGTAAGCTGAGGGTGAGAGGTGTCTGCTGGGCAGAGCTCTGGGTGGAAGGTGTAGAATCCGCCACTGCGAGGGGCTGTGGGGGGGGGGGCCATGAGCCCGTGTGACCCGGCAGCAACCCTGCCGGCAGGTGCCGCCAATCCTCAGGTCCCGAGGCTGGGCGGGCAGCTGGGAGAGGCGGCAGGCGCAGCTGGGGCCCGGCCCGGTGGTTCTCTGCCCGGATGCCCATGTGCCGCCTTTCTTACTCTAGAGAAGCGGGTGTGGGGTGCCCTGCACCCGTGGGCCAGGCGGTGCCCCAGCAGCCTGCCCTGTCTCCCCCGCAGGCTGATATGGGAAGTCTGGATGCCGTTTGTTCGCAACATTGTCAGCCAGTGGCAGCCGCGGAACTGCGAGCCCATGGTGGACTTCCTGGACAGCTGGGTGCACATCATCCCCGTGTGGGTGCTGGACAACATCCTGGACCAGCTCGTCTTCCCCAAACTGCAGAAGGAGGTAGGCCCGGAGCCCATGGGGGCCAGTGCTGCCAGGACGCCCGCCGCTAACAGGACGTCGGCACAGCTGCCGCCCGTTAACTCGGCCGCTGCAGCAGCACGTGTCTCCCCACAGCCCCCACCAACAGGGACCTCGTTAACTCGGTTTCTTAAAGTTAAAGCTGCCATTCCTGCCATGTGATACAATTGCCTGGGAGTATTAATTTTATTTGGCTGCCTCTGTACCAAACGTGTCCCTCCATAAGAGACCCTGTGTCCCACACACATGGGAAGGGCTGGACCTTGGCCAAGAGCACCTGGCGGCCTCGCCATTCACCACACGGCATGGTTTGACGCCCCCCCTCCTCCTGCAGGTGGAGAGCTGGAACCCCCTCACAGACACCGTGCCCATCCACTCCTGGATCCACCCGTGGCTGCCCCTCATGCAGGCGCGCCTGGAGCCGCTGTACTCGCCCATCCGCAGCAAGCTGTCCAGCGCTCTGCAGAAGTGGCACCCCAGCGACTCCTCCGCCAAGCTCATCCTCCAGCCCTGGAAGGACGTCTTCACCCCTGGCTCCTGGGAGGCCTTCATGGTCAAGAACATCGTGCCCAAGCTGGGTAAGAACGCGCGGAAACCAGCCCAGCTGGCAGCCTCGTTTTCTCTGGGCCACATTAGCACACGACCCTTCTCACTGTAACAGGTGCTGCTGCTGTGCACCGAGGCCGGATATAAACCAGACCAGGCCCTTAGGGCGGTGCCGACCATGTCAGACTGGTCTCGGCTTCTGGGAACAGGACGCCATCGGGGTCCTGAACGGCCATGGGGTTTGATTCTGGCTTAGAGAGGAAAGTGCGTTTAAGGCAGACCACACACTGGCCCTCAGGGGAAGCCCCTGGCGGCGGCGGCGGCTTTGCCTGAGCCCGGCTTTCATTGCAGGCATGTGCCTCGGGGAGCTGGTCATCAACCCCCACCAGCAGCACATGGACGCCTTCTACTGGGTCATCGACTGGGAGGGCATGGTCTCCGTCTCCAGCCTGGTGGGGCTGCTGGAGAAGCACTTCTTCCCCAAGTGGCTCCAGGTACCTGTGTGGCCGGGGGTGGGGTGGGGGGGGAGCACTGAATCCTTGGTGCCTGCTGGCTGGCAGTGCGTGACTGCAAAACAGAAACGAGCTACATGGCCGGAGAGGAACGAGTTGCACGCGTTACAGATGCTCGGAGCGCTTTATTGCCTTTCTCGGGGGCAGGGACCGATCCCCGCTGTGTACGCGGGAGGTAGAGCCCAGTTCACCGGCCAGGCCCTGAGCTCTCAGCTGCCTCCACGTCCCACTCCCGAGGGCCCGGCTCTCAGCCCCGCAGGCGGCGCCAGCTTGAAGGACCAGGATTAGCAGCAAAGGCCCCTGTAGGTGTTCGCTCCCATTTGTTGCCACTTTGGATGCAGGTTTCTCATTGTTCCTCTCCGGCAGGTGCTGTGCTCCTGGCTCAGTAACAGCCCCAACTACGAGGAGATCACCAAGTGGTACCTGGGCTGGAAGTCCATGTTCTCCGACCAAGTGCTGGCACACCCCTCCATCAAGGACAAGTTCAACGAAGCGCTGGACATCATGAACAGGGCGGTGTCCTCCAACGTGGGTGAGTGGGGTTCTGCACACGGGACAGAACCCGAGGCTTCAGGTCCCCGTGGGCAGCAGACTCCGACTCTCAGCCACCAGCTCTCCTGCCACGGCGTCTCCCTGAACGGAGGCAGATTTAAGCAGGCTTCACACTGGTCACCCCCAGGGCCCACCCCCATAACCACTGCGCTGTGCGCCTGCTCAGCCAGCACTGGGTGCTACTTAAGCGTAGCTCACAGCATAGCGTCTGACTCTTTGACCAGCGGTCGCCAACCTTTCGGACCTCATGGACCACTGGTGGCGACCACTGTCTCAGACCATGTTCTTTACTGTACGACAGTGACAGCGCCTGCCTTGTAGGTGTGACTGAGAACTAGAGGGATTGAGTCACTGGGGCAGGTGGAGGGCGCTGTGGAGGGGCAGCTGTGACAGGAGAGCAGATCTCACAGCTTACTTCATTAGAGCTGCTCAGTGAGGAAATACACTGAAAGCTGCCGCTCCCGGGCCTGTGGGACACCCCTCCTCACCTGCCCTCTCCCCCAGGCGCCTACATGCAGCCCGGAGCGCGGGAGAACATCGCCTACCTCACCCACACGGAGCGGAGGAAGGACTTCCAGTACGAGGCCATGCAGGAGCGGCGGGAGGCCGAGAACATGGCCCAGAGGGGCATCGGCGCGGCCGCCAGCTCCGTGCCCATGAACTTTAAGGACCTCATCGAGACCAAGGCCGAGGAGCACAACATCGTCTTCATGCCCGTCATCGGGAAGCGGCACGAGGGCAAGCAGCTCTACACCTTCGGCCGCATCGTCATCTACATCGACCGCGGGGTGGTGTTCGTGCAGGGCGAGAAGACCTGGGTGCCCACCTCCCTGCAGAGCCTCATCGACATGGCCAAGTAGGCGCAGCCGGGCGGCTGCTCACGTCTGACTAAACCTCCGGAGCTGCCTTTGGAAGAGTCACTTCTCTATTCAGTGGATTCTCCCCACCAGCCAGGCCCCAAGGCAGGTGTGAGGTGTGATAAGGTACTTGAGAGAAGTGCGTACAACTTAGCTTTACCCCCAGTTCTTCCACAGCCTGTCTCCTCTCCCCACGAGAGCCGGCTGAGGGCTTCCTGCGCTGGGGGGACGTGAGTACCCGCAGCCCCTCCATGGCCGCCTCCCCGTCCTGGTGCTGCTGCTGCTGCCTCCGCCAGCACTTCCTACGTCACGGCCCTGCCTGGCCGGCGGCTGAGGCACCTGCCTGGCTCCTGATGATCTCGAGGTCCTCGCAGTCCCGGTAATCGGGCTCTTCCCGAGATGCCCAGGTGTCGGCGGGGAGCTGCTGTAGCTTCTGGACTGGGAACCAGTGCACAGAGGTGTCATTGAACACGTCTGAGTACTGTGCTGTCTGGGGAAGTGCCTGCTCCTCCAGGCCTCCTAGAACCTGAGCAGACAATCCCAGTGAGCAGGCGACCTCGGTGGGCAGTAAGCCCCCTGCCCCCCAGCCCCCCAGCCCGGCCTGCACGTGTAAGGCGCACACCCGTCCCCACCCCAGCCCCTCGGTCAGGCAGATACCTGTGCGACATAGGCATAGTTTTTCTGCAGAATCCTTGTCAACAACCTGTAAATAAAAGGTTTTTAACGCATGATTAGGAGGTACAGAGTGGTTTTATCCAGCTGAAGGCAAGGTGATTTAAATAAGGTAAGAATGTAAAATGGGATGTGGAGAAGGTTCCGCAGAAAATGAATGTCCCAGTAACTGCACCCGCTTCATCAAGGGGCCATGACAGCAGAGGCGCCGCTAACACCCTGCCCAGCCTGAGGGAAGGGAGGGAGGGAGGCCTGGCAAGGACTCTAAGTTGCTTCACAGCTGACTCGGTGGCATCTTTCTCTGGCCCTCCGTCCAGTTTCTTGGTCCTTTTCCGAGGACCAGCCTTGGACACGTGCTCTGCTGGCGGGTCACTCCGGGGACCGGCCGCCCCTCGGCTGGCGGTCGCCGCGTTCCGGCTCACCTCTCCTCCAGGCCGCGGAAGCTGTTGCCAATGATGACCATCTTGGAGAGGGCGTCAGCGGACCAGTTGCTCCACAGAAGGTTGTTGTACAGGGCGGTCCCGCAGTGCAGCATGTAGAAGATGGTGGGCTCGCCACACACACTCCGCTTCCCTTCCTGAGAACAGCCGGCGGTAAACACTGCTCAGCACAGGGAGGGCCACACAGACGGCCAGCGTGCGCGCGCGCGCGCACACACACACACACACACACACACACACACACACACACACACTGTGGTTACGAGGTGGCGGTGTTGGCCTTACTGTTGTCATCCTGCAGCAAACGGGTATCACACTGCACCTTAAACCTAAAAATGCTCTCAGCAGTTACACCCACACAGCGCAAGCGCAGGACAAAACGAGCGGAGAGGAAAGCAAACGGAAGTCTGAAGGTAACAGCGTGTGTCCCACTAACAGCACTGGCTCAACGACAGGGCCTCTTGGTCCATGCAAGCAGGGGCGTGAGGGTGGCAATAGTTACTGCCCCCGTGCTGGCTGGGGTCGCTTTCTGCAGGTCCCTGCCACAACGGAGCCCTTTCCGGACGCCCCTCTTGAGGCCTACTGCTCCGCAGCCAAGCTCCTGGCAGGAAAGCCAAGGCCGGCGCCAGCTGCCTGGCCCGGCTACCTCTGGCCCCCTCTACCCTCCTGGCAGCTTCCCTCCTGTCCACACCGGGCAGCGGGTCCTGAACAGCCAGCTCTGCATGGGCTGCCTGCGCCCTGGGCCTGTCCCCTGGCAGACTCCTGGCTGACCCTCAATCCCAGCTCCGGACCCAGGAAGCTGCCTCCCTCCCCCCAAAGAAAAGGGACTCCTCCCCTCTCTGTTCCTAGCACGTGGCTCTGCCTCCCTGTCTGACTCGTTTCCTTGTCTGCAGGCCGCGTGCCCTGATGTGGCCATGGGCTCCCTGAACACAGGGACCGGCTCCTGTGTGCCGTGGCTCCCAAAGCTCCTTGCCCGGCAGAGCAGGCTCTCAGAAAAGCCGATCTGGATTACGGCCGTGCTGTGGGAGCCTGCCAGCACCGGCAAACCATTCCGTCTCAGCTGGCCTAATTTCCATAGTAAGCACTGAGACGGCAGTTTCTCCAAACAGAGAGGAACCCAGCGGTTATTTATAATCCCCAAGACAACACAGAACTAAGCTCAGAGGTATTCGCCTTGAGTGGCTTCAGTCCTCCGCTTATGAAATTCCCTTTTCCCAGGCCTCAAGAATTTCGAGTCCTAGCGATTTTGGGGGGCGCCGGGCGGACAGGCTTCACCCACAGCTCGGCCAGGTGTGATGGGAATGGCTGACTGCAGCTCCAAAGAGGGGCCCTCTGTCCCCTTTCATTGCCTCCCTGGGAACAGGGTAAAGGCCAACCCGAAAACCCACATTTGAGGCACTGAGACTGTGTGACCTTTTAATATTTCAATAGCAACAGGAAATGCCAACTGAGCAAAATTTCTGGACACACACTCCTAACATTTCTGGTTCGTGCCATTTGTGCAATTCACTTTTCTCTGATGGACACAACAGTCAAAATGTGGGTAATTGGGCACCCGCACAGGCACCGGGAAAGCAACAGAGAAGGACTGCCGTTTCAAAAAAAAGAAAAATTTCACATCTGCGGGTCCGAGCCTGAGATCAGCCGGCCAGCAGCTTCCCTAGCTCCACCCTCCCCTCCCAAGCCACTCACCTCGTTCTCACCGAGGACAGTCACCCCGAGGGCGGTAAGCACTGCAATTTCCAGCCGGCTAAACAGAGGGTCATACACCCAGCAGTGACTTCTGGGAATCTGCGGGGGGCAAGGCGTCATTTCCACCAAATGCCCGTGTGCCCGCCGCGGGTAAGACCAAGGGAGGAGTCCACAATGTACCTGGCACTCTTCCAGGAAGAGAAGCAAAAACGCTAGCTGGTTTCTGGCGATGACACAGGTGGCAAAGCTCCCGATGCCGTAACACACACACTTCCAGCCGAGGGCCCCCGGGGCCAGGCTGGCTCCCGGGCTGCAGCCAGGAGCCGCCCCCGAGTCATCGGGTGATGAGTCGAGGTGCAGGCTCCCAATGGCTTCCGACAGAGTCCCCACAGGGGCATCCAGCTGTTCCAGATGTTTCATAAGGCATTTGTTGATGGTTTCTGAAAGAGCAGGCCCCCAAACACAGTCAGAGTGACCCCATAACCCCGATCACCCGCCAGAGCAGCCCGCGGGCAGGGAGCAAGGAGCAGGGCAGCAGCAGCCTCAGCCCCCTCCACTCCCACATCCCAGGACGTGCCGCCGTGTCTCCTGGAGCTGACAGGCTGTCCCTGGACCCCCGCAGCCTACCACCTCAGAGAAGGGTTTGAGAAGAAATCTCAGTTTCAATGTAAAACACGAATGTAAACTCATTCTAGTTTAATAGGTGGGCCCTGGTAAACTCAGGATATGCCTTGAAATTCCTTTTTTTTTTTTATTATAACGAAGAATAGAGGAGCAGAGCTCTTAATATCACACTATAAATGACAAAGAGTAGGAATACTTAAGGTGTAAAAAAAGGAGGGGGGGGGGTGCCCTGAGCCAGTGTGGTTCAGTGACTGGGCATCAACCCATGAACCAAGAGGTCACCGGTTGGATTCCCAGCCAGGGACATGCTGGGGTTCCGGGTTTGACCCCCAGTAGGGGCTGTACTGGAGGCAGCCTATCCGAGAGGTTTCTCTCTCATCGATGTTCCTATTTCTTTTCTCTCTCTAAAGGGCAATAAAAACATTTTTAAAAAGGTAGGCTGGGGCTCCCGGAGTAACAAAAAGCGCTCTCTCTAACCCTCACAGGGAGGTGGGTGCTGTCTCTCTCCTTCATGACACTGGTACTGACTTTATTTGCACAAATCTGTATGCAAAACATTGCAAACTTATAATTAAAAAACAAATAAAATGTCCCTCAATCGAAATGATAACCACTGTAAGGCCACTGTGAAGTCCACTCCATGGGTCAATATTTATGCTCCCATACACAATGTTAGGAAGACAGTATAACCCCCTCGGGGGTGGGGGTGGGGGGGGTACATTGCAATCTCAGGGAAAAAGAGCAGGGAAACACCAATCAGCCACAATGGCAATGACAGCTGTTACCATTCCAGGCACTAGAACAGCCTCACGTAATCCGCACAATCCCACTCCGGGATCTGCTTCACCATCTCCATCTCACAGATGAAGCTCAGGGTCAGAGTTAAGAGCCAAAAGCGCACAGCTGTAAGGCGTTAGAATTATATAGAACCCATGGGTACACCACCCTATAAAGCAAAACGGCACCCAATGAGGGTGGATCCGTCCTTTGCCCATATTCAGGCCCCTCCCACCCCCGGCCCCTCAGCCTTGGATAGATGTACTCACCCAGTGCTGAGCTCCAGAAATCAGAAACTCGCAGGTCTTCCCTGTGGGGAAAAAAAAGGGAGGTGAGGTCATCTCCCATCTTCTCAGGGCGGCCCTAACAGTGACTCCCACCCCTCCTGTCCGTCACCTGGATGTGGGGAGCATGATGCGGACGCAGAGCCCACCCTGAGTGACAGGAGGACACACGGTGAACATGATAGAGCAGAGCACGTACTGCCGGCTCAGAGGGAGCAGCACAGAGGGCTTCCTGGAGGAGGCCACACACTGGAGTACCAGCCCACAACCCAGGCATGCGCCCTGACTGGGAATCAAACCCGGGACCCTTCAGTCCTCAGCTGACACTCTACCCACTGAGCCAAACCGGATAGAGCATAAAAAAAAAAAAAAATTTTTTTTAAAGTATTAACAATGTAAGCATTAAATGAATGGGGGGAAAAGGAAAAGTCTCAAATAAACAGCCCAACTTTACATCTCCAGAAACTAGAAACAGAAGGAAAAGCTAAGCCGGAGTTAGTAAAGAAAGGAAATAACAAAGACTAGAGCCTAAATAAATGAAATACACACAGAGATATTAACACACACCACTGAAATATTGTACTAAGTCGTCTCAGAAGAGACTACTAACAATTATATGCCAACAAACAACCAACTATAAGAAACGGACAAATTTGTAAAGTATACAACCATCCTAAGCCAAATCATGAAAAATTGGAAAATCTGAACAAACTGATCCCTCGAAAGGAACTTGGAACAGAAATCAAACACCTGGCAACAAACACAATTCCAGGACCAGCTGGCCTCACTGGTGAAGTCTACCAGCATTCAAAGAAGACTGAACACCTATTCTTCTCAAACTTTTCCCAAAATAATGAAGAGGCAGTGCTTCCTAACTTACATTCCTAACTTATAGAGGCCAGCGTTACTCTATACTAGCACCAGGCAAGGTCAAAACACACACACACAATCACACACACACACAATTACAGGCCAATACCGTTAAAAAGCACACTATCTGTATATGCAAAAATCCTAAATAAAATACTAGCAAGTCAAGTACAACAATACATCAAAAGGATCATACACCATGCTCCAGTGGAATTCATTCCAGTGATGCAATGATGATTCAACATCCGAAAATCAATGAACCTGATACACCATATTAATAAGACATAAAATAAATCATATGACAATATAGGTGCAGAAAAAACATTTGACAAGATACAACATGCAATTAGGATTGAAAACTCAATAAAATGGCTCTGGAAGGAAAGCATAGTAACATAATATGGCTCTATATGACAACCCCCACCTGGCATCATACTCAATAGAGAAAAACTCAAAGTTTCTCTTCTAAGTCAGTGGTTGGCAAACCATTAGTCAACAGAGCGGCAAACTGCAGCTCACAAACCACATGTGGCTCAAGAGCATGGTTTGCAGACCACTGCTCTAAGATAAGGAATGAGGCAAGGAGGCCCAATGTTTTTCAACACAGTACTGACAGTCCTTGCAATTAGGCAAGAAAAAGAAATAAAAGACACCCAAATTGGAAATGAGGGATTAAAACCACCACTATTTGCAGATGACATGATATTTATATATATATATATATATAAAATCCTAAAGACGCCACCAAAAAACTAATAACAGATTCAGTAAAGTTGTAGGATACAAAAATATGCAAAAAATCTATTAGTTTCTATATACTAACAATGAAATATCAGAAAGAGAAATGAAGAAAACAATTCCACTTGAAATCACAACAAAAAGAATAAAGTACCTAGAAATAAACTTAACAAAGAAGGTAAAAAGGACCTGTACACAGAAAACTGTAAGACACTGTTGAAAGAAACTGAAAACCGAAGGACTTGTATACATGCCTATAAGTACAACCAATGGACACAAAACTATGGGGAGGGAGGGTATGTATGGGAGGGGGGGCAATGTTAAAATATGTACACAGATAATAATTTAATAAAAAAAAGAAAGAAAGAAACTGAAGATGCAGATATGGAAAGGTATTGCATGTTCATAGATTGGGAGAATTAATATTGTTAAAATATCCATATTACCAAAAGCAATCTATAGATTCAAGCTAATCCTATCAAAATTCCAATGGCATTTTTCACAGAAATAGAACAAATAACCCTCAAATTTGCATGGAGCCACAAAAGATACCAAAAAAAAAAAAAAAAAAAAAAAAAAAAAAAAGCAATCCTGAGAAAAAGGTACAAAGCCGAAGGCATCACATTCCCGGATTTGAAACTATACTACAAAGCTAGATCATCAAAACAGTATGTGTATTGGCAGAAAAATAAACACACAGAACAATGGAACAGAGTTGAGAGCCTAGAAATAAACCCACCCACTTATGGGCACTAATTTATACCAAAGGAGTCAAGAATATATAATGAAGAAAGAAACGCCTTTTCAATAAATGCTGATGAGGCCACTATCTTATACCATACACAAAAATGATCTCAAAGTGAACTAAAGATTTGAATATAAGACCTGAAAAAAATAAAATACATAGAAGAAACATTGATACCAGTTTCTGGGCATTGGTCCGAGGTCTTTTTGTGAATTTGACTCCAAAGGCAAAGTAAGTAAAAATAAATAAATAAATAAATAAATAAATAAACAAATCAAACTAAAAAGCTTCTGCACAACAAAAATAAACAACAACAAAACAACCCATCCACGAAACAAAAAGGCAAGCAATGAATGAGAGAAGATATTTGCAAATTCTACTTCCAATAAGGGATTAATATCCAACATATATAAAGACTTCATACAATTTAACAACAAAAATACAGAGTATCTGAACAGACGTTTTCCCAAAGATATACAAATGGCCAACAGGCACACGAAAAGATGCTCAACATCATTAGTCAAATGCAAATCAAAACCACATGAGATACCACCTCCCAGCTGTTAGAATAAGACACTAGTGTTAGTTAGCAAGGATATGGAGAAAGGGGAACCCACTTGCACTGTTGGTGGGAACGTAACCTGGTGCCCTGACACTATGCAAAAACACGAAGGTTTCTCAAACAATTAAAAATAGAACTATCGCCAAAACCGGATTGGCTCAGTGGATAGAGCATTGGCCTGCAGACTGAAGGGTCCCAGGTTCGATTCCGGTTAAGGGCATGTACCTTGGTTGTGGACACATCCCAGGGTGGTGGTGGTGGGGGCGGGTGCGGGAGGCAGCTGATTCATGTTTCTCTTTCATCGATGTTTCTAACTCTCTATCCCTCTCCCTTCCTCTCTGTAAAAAAATCAATAAAATATATAAAAAATAGAACTATCACATGATCCAGCAATTCCACTTCTGGGTATTTATCCAAAGAAAGCAAAAACACTTATTCAAAAAGACATCTGCACCCCCATGCTCACTGCAGCATTACATACAACAGCTAAAATCCGAAAACAACCTGTGTACGTGTCCCTCGATGGAAAAATGGATCAAGATGTGACAAAATAAAAAACAAATTAAAAAATGTGGCCATAAAAAAGAATAAAATCTTGTCATCTGTGACAACAGATGTTGGATGTTCTTTGAGGGTATTATGCTAAGTAAATGAGTCATACAGAGAAAAACATACGTATGATTTAGAACAAATACAAAACCACTGAGCTCATAGAACAGATGGTGGCTGCCAGAGGCAGGAGGGTAGCGGGGGTTGGGATGGGTGTGAAATGGGGAAAGGGTCAAAAAAACTTTGAAACGCAGGTTTGGGAGTCGCAAAGCTATGGGGTTGCAATTTGGTTCCATGCATTACCTGTGTCTCAGTCAGGCCCCCAGGATCGCAGTGTGGTGGCCGAGATGTTCAAATGGATCAAGTGTGGAGCATGCTTAACCAAGTGCCAGGCACAGAGCAGCTCAATTAAAACACCAATCAGAAAGGACGTATGCACCCCTATGTTCATAGCAGCACAATCTACAATAGCTAGAATCTGGAAACAGCCTAGGTGCCCGTCAGCAGATGACTGGATCCAAAAACTATGGTACATCTACACAATGGAATACTACGCTGCCATAAAAAAGAAGGAATTCTTATCCTTTGCAGCAACCTGGATGGGATTGGAGAACATTATGCTGAGTGAAATAAGCCAGTCAGTGAAAGAGAAACACCACATGACCTCACTCATTTATGGATAATAAAGAACATTATAAACTCATGAACAAAAAGATAGATTCGGAGATAGTAAAGCAACGAACAGACTGTCAAATTATAGCGGGGAGGGTAGGGGGATGTGGGGGAGAAAAGAAATCAACCAAAGGACTTGTACGCATACATATAAGTACAACCAATGGATGCAAAACTCTGGGGAGGGGGGGCATGGTAAGATATGTACACATATAATACCTTAATAAAAGATGGAAAAAAATAAAATAAAATAAATCAATCTGAAAAAAAAAAGCACCTCAATTAGCTGATGATCCTCATGAAAATTACTATCACGTGTTCGTGTTGCTTCCCAGGCACTTTAGCAACGCCAACAAAAACCAACATCGCGTCAACATTATTAATACCACAAACTCTGGTGCCTCCGTTCGAAGTGGCTTACATTTACTAATCCACCGAGTCCTCCAAACAAGCCTCTACGGTAACTTTTTAAAATACATATTGTTTGATTTTTTTTTACAGAGAGGAAGGGAGAAGGGTAGAGAGTTAGAAACATCGATTAGAGAGTAACATCGACCAGCTGCCTCCTGCACCCCCCCCACTGGGGATGTGCCCGCAACCAAGGCGCATGCCCTTGACCGGCCATGGAACCTGGGACCTTTCAGTCCGCACGCAGGCCGAGGCTCTATCCACTGAGCCACACCGGTCAGGGCCACAGGTACCTTTCCGTGCCCACCTCACAGATGAGAACACTGAGCCACAGGCGTGACATAACTTGCAAAACCGCCTCTCCCCGGGCTCCCCTGACCCCCGCTTTCCACAGGGGAGACTGAGGCTCGGAGGGAGTCCCACAGGCGCGGAGGCTCACACCCGCCACTCACCTGGCCTCCCGGATGCGGCGAAGCACGACTCCGCCGTCCACGTCGGGGTCCGCCTCGGGGTCCCCGGCCGCCGCCGCCGGCCTCTGCCTCTGCCGCGGCCGCCGAGCCGCTGGGCGCCTCCTCCGCGGGGCCACCGGCCGCCAGGGCTCCGCCGCCGCCGCCGCCGCCGCCGCCGCCGCCATGGGCCGCTGACGTCACGGGAGCGCGGCGCGCTCGGCTACGTCATCACCGCGCGCCGGCCCCGGGGAGCCTTTAGGGGGCGGGAGGCGCCGGCAGCGCGTGATCCCGGGGCCGTTCTGCCGCGCGCTTAGGTACGGGGTTGGGGGGACTGGGGGGCGGAGGGTTCGCTGGCGCCTCGCTGCCGCCTGCGCTCCGGATCCCGAACCCCGATCTTCGGGCTGCCGGGCTTTTCTGGCGGGCGGGCAGCGCGGGGGCTCTGAGGGGAGGGACCGCGTCCGAGAGCGCCGCATCGCGGCCTCCCTGCGCGATGGCCCGGCCCACAGGGCCCCCCGTGCCTTTGCCAACCAACTCCCAGCCCCCTGCGCCGAGGCCAGACACTTCCTCTGCCCTAGACGGTAACCGATCGCTTCCTGCCCCGCTGACCTGCTGAGGCCGCTTCCTACACCACCGCCACCGCCACCCTCGGGTCATAGCTGGCAACTCTTGGACTTCCTGGGTCGTTGCTGCCACTTCCCAGGCTGCCTGCGCCTTCTGTGGTCACATTCCAACCCCTGCCTTACCCCAGGGCCAATACCGGCCTCTTGTGGACCTTTCAGAGATGAGAGAGGGGACTTGGCAGTGTGGGGCCCAGTCCCCCGGGGAACAAGGGGGTAGGTAGGGGGTTTCAGGCCGCTGTCCTTGGTTCCGAGAGCTTAGATGCCTCTCCCCAGGCATCCGGATACGCTTCCAAGAAACTACGAGCGTGATCCCATGGAGGCCCACCCCAAGATATTGAGAGTTGAGGAAAGATTAGAGATTGTACAGGCCATCAGTGGGGCCCTCTCTAGGGACATCTCTCTACCTAAGGAGCTTTAAAAAACTCCATGGTGCTCCCAGGATGAGGACAGATGGTGAGCGAGCATTGGAACCATGTCCCCGAGGGCATTTGTCTTGTAGAAAGTGACAGTAGGCATACAATTTGGATGCACCAACTTGTCTTGTGGAAGGAATAGGCCTCATGTAATTTTCCTGGACAGTGGTACGCAGAGCTGTGTGTAGAGGCTACTGGGAGGCCAGGTTAGCTTAGTGGAAGGATCAGTTTAACAGTGTGAACCCCCGATCTCTGGAGGGAATAAGCAGACAGTCCAGGTAGTTTTTTATTGGTTGATTGATTTGAGAGAGAGAGAGAGAGAGAAACACCCACCGGTTGCTCTACCCACTCATGCATTCATTGGTTGCCTCTTGTATGTGCCCTGACTGGAGATGGAATCCAAAACCTCGGTGTATCATGGTGACTGTTGTAATCAAATGAGCTCCCTGGTTAGGGCCGGTGGAGGGGATTTTTCCTGCGCCGCTGACCCACTGTCCAGAGATCAGGATTAGATGAATGGTGCCAGGGTCCCACCGTTCAGACCCTGCGATGCCCTGGTGGTCTGAGGTGTCTCCTCTGGTGGGAGGAGCTTGAAAGCCACTTGTTAAATTCTCTCTGCAGCCGAAACCGGTTTGGCTCAGAAAGGTCCCGGGTTCGATTCCGGTCAAGGGCATGTACCTTAGTTGCGGGCACATCCCCAGTAGGGGGTGTGCAAGAGGCAGCTGATTGATGATTCTCTCTCATCGATGTTTCTAACTCTCTATCCCTCTCTGTAAAAAATCAATAAAAAAAATTCAAAAAAAAAATTCTCACTGCATCTTTTGGAAACTTGCCCAGCTCTGGACTTCCACATGTTCGGGTTACTTCTGAGCTGTCATGGGGACAATTCCTTAATTTGAGTCCCATTATTACTACAGCAACTGCCTCATTTGAACACGCTCCTTGACACCAGAGCTTCTTAACTGTTTCTTCCATGAGACATCACTGTTCAAGAACTAAAGGATATGAAGTCCTGCTACCCTCTCTCTCTCTTTTTTTAAACTGTTTTTGACTTTCTAGAAAGCTCTTTTGAAGTCTACCATTTGCTTAACCACGCTGGGTCACACGCCCTTTTTGTGGGTTTCAGAGATAATCTATTCCTTGTGTTTATTTTAGGGCTAAGGCACTGATGTTTGAACAGGAAGCTTCAAAAAGTTTAAAAGCGTCTTCAGAATGGCTTTGAAGCACACAGGCTAGAAATCGCCCCAGAACAGCGCCTTCAGCAGTGCATCTCCCCTGTCGCGCTTCCCTGGCCAGCTCTTTGGCGGGGTCATTCTGCAGAGAGCTGATGCTCACGGGGCCAGATTAGCGGTGCTGGCTTTGCTGGTAGAACTCTCTGGCTTTATTCTATTCTCTCCCAGGGTTCTCAGAGGCATCCATGGCACTGAAGGGCTTGCCAGGAGGGAAGTGGCACTTTCACGTTGAATAAAAACAAAGCAAGTGACAGTTGGGACCAAAAACACTTCAGACCTCCCGCGTCTGGCCTCCCTGGATCGGGGACACAGAGGAACAGTCCCTGCTGGGGAGGAAGAGGCCATAACTGGAAAGAAAATCCAAATAAAGAGGATGCGAGCCACCTGAAAGTAAATGGCCGCCTCAACAGAGAGGAAGTCAGCCTCCTGGTGAGTAGCAAGGCCTGCTGGGGCTTAAGTTCCTGCCAGGCTGCCGGACTGGGATTTGGGTTAACTGAACATCCCCAGCCAGATTGTCTTGATTTTATTAAGGAAAAAAAAAGGGGGGGGGGGCGATTTCCTTCAGTGCAGCTGAGTCTAACAGGTGAGCCGTTTCCCACCAAAGCTGGTGTGTGGTAACTTTGCAAGCTTCTTCCAGCCTTCCAGCGAGGCGAGCATTGTTGGTAGATTGCACAGATGATAATCGTGGCCGATCATGCCTCCAGCTTTGATGATAATGTGGGCGTTGGAGCCCTCACTTTTGAAAGTTAAATGGCTGCGCTGCAGAATTACACCGTGGGAAGGGGCTTGGCCAGGCTTCAGTTGAGTCTGAAACACTTTGGGGGCTTTCTGATCTGGACCTGCCCTGACGCCAGTAGCGCATCTGGAACTCAAGAAGGCGGGCGGGACTGGAAACTGAGTCAGTGCTTGTGATCAGAAAGATAAGGTGGGAGCCAGAGAGGGGGATAGGGAGGGGGTTCAGGGGGAAGATCACAGGTGACAGCGAGTCACAGCTCCTCCTCCTTAGGCTCTAGGTTTGGAAGTAAAACTCAGGCAAGCCTTTGTGGAGTTTGCCTTGGGATCTTAAAGAGGTGGTTATAATTATACTAGAGGCCTGGTGCACGAATTCATGCATGGGTGGGGTCTGGCCGGCCCACCCCAATCAGAGGGCCCATCAGGGATGAGGCCAGCTGGGGGGAGGGGGCCACGGGTGGTTGGCTGGCTGGCCCCGCCCACTGGTCGAACTCCCGGTCGAGGGGACAATTTGCATATTAGTCTTATATAGGATGGCAGAGCAGACTATAAGACTAGGGAGAACAGCGGGTTATGGAGATTGAGAAGAGGGATTCCTCTGGGCATCTGCCGTTTGATGAGGGATCGTGTGTGAGCTAATCCTCGTCAGGTTTTGTAGGCAGAGAGGGGCCCGGTGCTTCTCTGTGACCTTTAAAGGGCCCCGTTTTCCCTGCATTGAAACGTGCAGTTTATTTCCTCCCTTTATCGCCGGGGCCCAGCACACACTTAGTCCTCGGTGATATTTGTTAAATGAAATCTAGGAATCTGGATTCGTTTAGAAGGGCTATTTCGGGAGATGGCTGTGCCCATTGTGCGGAGTGCTTCTGAGACATTCTGACTCACTTGGGGCCTGGAAAGACAGTTCACCAAACCATGTGGTTAGCAGTTCAGGCTCCACAGCTCCCATAAGAGGCTGTGGGCACCCCTCTTTCCTGTCTTCCTCACAGATGGTCTGCCTGCTGGGTAGAGGCATATTTTTAGTTCGACTCAAGTGCACTTAAGAAATGGCTTTATCTGTTTGCAGCCGCTGGGTTCTTCTTCCTGGGGGGCCACCAGAGGCTTGGCAAACACCGAGTAACGAGCTCACGTGGGCTGGGAAATGGGGGCCGTGCCTCCGGCTGGCCCCGGATGAAACGCAACGGTTCCCTCTGTTCTCTCGCCAGGTGGAACTATTTTTTCCTTTACGATGGTTCCAAGGTGAAGGAAGAAGGCGATCCGACGAGAGCCGGCATTTGTTACTTCTATCCTTCCCAGGTTAGCCACGCAGCCTGCACTGTTTCGCGGGCATCCACAGAACAGAACGTAGGCCTCACCCTGGTGACTTTTCGGAAGTATAGGGTTTACATCGGGGCAGCTTTCTGTGGATGACCCAGGCCCTTGACGCTTCTACTCTCTTAATCTTAGTCGTGGTAGTTCTTGTTCCGGTCTTTGAACTCCCAGGCAGCTCAGGGCTGCCATCTTACCTGGCTGGCTGGTACCACCACAATTTTCTGTCTGCCCCATGCTCCCAATTTTTGATCAGCTCGTTAAAAAAAACAAAAAAACAAAAAACTTTTATTCAAACATACACAAAAGTATCAGGAACCCTTACATGCCTGTCACCAGCTTTAACAGTTATCAACACTTGGCCAATTCTTATGACCCAACCTAAACTCTCTGCCCTTTTATTCTTGGGGTATTTTGCAGCAAATCCTAGACATTGTGTTATCTCATCGGTATCAAGTAACCTCTCTAACCGAAAAGGACTTTTTAATTTAAAATCACACATAACAACAGTTACAATAATTCCTTAATATCTCAGATAGTGTCTATATTCAAATTTTGCCCGATTACTTAGATGGGGCCTAGACCTAGTTTCCTTCTCTCCTTCCCCCTTTCTGGCTATTTTTCCTGATCAGGACCCAATCAAGGTTCACTGTTTTATTTGGTTATTTTGTGTGTTGAGTCCCTTTTACCGTGTAGCAGTCCTCACCCACCCATCCCCTTTCCCGCTCTATCCATTGAATGAGGAAGAAACCAGGCCAGCCCTAGCCAGTTTGGCTCAATGTCAGCCTGCAGACTCAAGGGTCCCAGGTTCGATTCCGGTCAAGGGCATGTACCTTGGTTGCAGGCACATACCCAGTAGGGAGTGTGCAGGAGGCAGCTGATTGATGACTCTCTCTCATTGATGTTTCTAGCTTTCTATCCCTCTCCCTTCCTCTCTGTAAAAAAATCAATAAAATATATTTTAATAAAAAAAGAAAAGAAAAAAAGAAACCAGGCCATTTGTGCAATAGAATGTGACCTTGTTCCCGCTCTGGGTTTGCTGATGATTCCCTCCTGGTGGTGTCATTTAATGTCTTCTATCCACTGGGTTTCCTTTAAACCTGGGTTAAGGTCCAGAGCCTTTGTGAGGTTTAAGTTCATTTCTTTTAGGCAAGAATTCTTCATAGGTGGTGTGTACATTTTCTGCTCATCACATAATGTTTGGCTGCCCCGCAGCTGAGTTAATGCCAAGATCCATTAAATTCACTCATGTGATTACCCTCTGACTTGGGTAATTGGGATTAATCTCGGCTGCTCTGGCCACTCTGCAGGGGATTTGAATAGGGTTGAAAGGCTCCTGCTTCTATCCATGCCCGGGGTTAAATTATAAGGTGTAATCCCAGAAGAAAAATGCAGTTCTGTGGATCATCTGATGTGTTCACTGTGGGTGTTCAGGCACGGGTGTTCAGGACTTTGTCTGAAAGCAGCGAAGTATGTTAGGCTTTGTAAGAAGCCACAGATGGTCCTCATCACTATTCTTCATTGTTGTTTTGACAACCCTTAAAAAAAGATTCTTAGTTCACAGGCCATATGAAAATAGGCCGCCAACTGGATCTGGCCTGCAGACTCTGCTCTAAGGAATGACGCGAGAATCTAGCAATTTCAACTTCCTGTCTGAAATTTGCTGCTTTCCCGTAGACCCTGCTTGACCAACAGGAGTTGCTCTGTGGCCAGATTGCTGGCGTGGCCCGCTGCATCTCTGACATCTCCGGCGCTCCTCCCACCCTCATTCGTCTGCGGAAACTGAAGTTCGCCATCAAGGTGGATGGAGATTACCTTTGGGTGAGTTCAGCAGGCAGAACCAGTGCCTGTACCATGAGTCTTTGTCTGGGTGATAAAGCCTGTGTACAAGAGGCAGCTGGTCGGTGTTTCGCTCTCATTGATGTTTCGCTCTCATTGATGTTTCTAACTCTCTATCTCTCTCTCCTTTCCTCTCTGTAAAATATCAATAAAATATATTTTTAAAAAGAATAAGGTTCCTAGGAACATTCCTATATGAGTCTTTTTCATGGACATAAGTCTTCATTTCTCGTGAGTAAATATCTTTGTACATGTGAGAATTCCGGTTATTTTACATCTTCGTCAGCACCAATGCGGGCAGATGTTTAATTTTAGCCATTCTGCCGGATGTGCCAGGGTAGCTCATTGTAGTTCCATTTCATTTCCCTAATGACTAATGGTATTAAGGCTTTTTCACGGGCTTAAGGCCATTTGTACATCTTCCTTTGCGAAGTGTGTACCCAAAGCTTTTGTCCATTTTGTAAATTGTTTTTTTCTTAATTGATGGTAGGGTTGTTGTTTTTTTTTATATATATATATCCTGGATACAAGTTCTTTGTCAGACACCCATTTTAGAGATATCTTCTCCCACTTTGCAGCACTCCTATTAATTTTCCTAATGATGCCTTCTGATGAGCAGATGGTTTTCATTTCAGTGAAGTCGAATTTATCCATCTTCCGGTTATTGCTTTCTGCATCCTGTCTAAAACCGTTGCCTACCTCATTGGAGAAGATGTTCCCATTTTGGGGGGAAGTTTATAGTGTTCGCTTTTAAATGGGAGTCTGCAGTCCGTCTTGGGTTACTGTTTGTGTTTGGATGTGAAGTAGAGGTGAAGGGCCCTCTGGTTCCGTACTACTCGGTGGTTCCAGCACCATTGTTGCAAAACTCCCTGTCAAAGGTCAGGGGCCACGTAAGCGAGGCTGTATTTCTGGGTTGCCTGTCCTTCCATTGGTCTCTTTGGAATTGTGGGTCTTGGGTAGGTATATGTTAATTTTATAAGATCTCAGAAGGTAGCACACCTTTGAGAATCAGGTAGGGTAAGTGGTCTTACCTTTTTCTTTTGCAAGTTAGCTTGGGCCATTGCGGGTCCTGTGTGTCCCTGGAGTAGAATCAGTGTGTCATTTTCTAAAGCAAAGCTGGTGGGTTATGATGAGAATCGCGTCTGATCTCTAGCTCAGCCGGGGAAGCAGCAGGCTCAGGTGGGGCACGTCGATGAAGCGCTAACTCTCGGGGTTACATCAGGAAGAAAACAAAGGTCCTTGCCTCAGCGGAGCATATGTTCAGAGGGAGTTTTTAAATGTTCCTTCCTGCCAGGGTTTGCTTGCTCCTTTGTTTAAGTGTCTGATGATTCCCTTAGGAAAGATTCCTCGAGGTAGAATTGCTGAGTCAAAGAACATGAATTTCTTTCAGGCTCTTTGAACATATGGGGCGAGATGCTTTCCAGCGGAGTCTGTGTGTATGGAAGGATGCTGCCCCCAGCATCCGGGAGCTCTGGGACGCGGGGATTTAGACAGTTTCCGTTCTCAGGGCCCTTGGCCCAGCTCGGGGGAGGCGGGGCTCTTGGGGTTTGCAGTGACCCGGATTAGACCTTCAGTGTCCACATATCAGGCCTAAGATGCGCTGGGTCCGAAAAGAGGTCAGCATTGGCCCGGTGGTCAGGGCGAGCGGCGTGGAGTGCTGGATCTGACGGGCACTGAAGGGACGAGGGCCCTGGGCAATGAGCAGGAAGGAGGGCATTTCAGGGTGGGCGATGTGTCCATCGTTCTTGGCCGGAGTGAGGGCGTGGGGCTGGGCAGTAGGTCAGATTCCATGGGCCCTGGAGTCTGGCTGCAGCGAGCCCTGGATGCAGGGATTCGGGGCCCGGAGTCAATACATTAAATGCCTGTCCCCGCTTCCGTCCTTACAGGTGCTGGGCTGTGCCGTGGAGCTCTCCGATGTCAGCTGCCAGCAGTTTCTGCACCAGCTCATTGGATTTTTTAACTTTTACAATGGACCTGTCTCTCTGGCTTACAAGGTATCGGGGAGCCTTCATGTGGCAAAACCGATATTGCTGAAACGCAGCACTTTCTCTAGGGTCTGTTCCATTCTACACAAACACACAGTATCCAGCCACCAGGTCAGGGATTCAGGGAGCCCCTCTCAGATGCCTCTGACCCAGTGGTGAGGGTCACGTTCATTCCAAGCGTTGACCTCCATCTCCTCCCCCCAGGGTAGGTGGAAAGAGTGATGGGGAGGCTGTCAGGGTAGGAAGCTCAGAGGAAGCTCCCCTCCCTTCGCCAGTTTCCGTGTGAGGAGTTAGCTGGCAGTAGTCGGGATCCTTACCGAAGAGGTGTCTCTCAGAACCTCTGCTCCCGGGCTCAGGCTGTTTCTGTTTCAGAACTGTTCTCAGGAGGAACTGAGCGCCGAGTGGGACGCCTTCATTGAACAAATTCTGAAAAACACCAGCGATCTGCATAAGATCTTCACTTCCCTCTGGAACCTGGACCGGACCAAAGTAACTCTCTCCTCCCCTTCTCCTGTCCCGTTATGGGAATCGAGCTTGACACCTCTGTCTTTTCCCCTTGAAATGAACTGCACAGGGAGAGAGGTGATGGATGTGCATTTCTCGGTCACAGTAGTTAAGACTGCACTAAATTCCATGGCGCTGCTCACCAGCTGTGTGAGCCTGGACAAATCAAGGCGCCTCTCGGAACCTCAGTCTTCTTCTCCATAAAATGGGGTCATAGCACCCGCCTCCCTGAACTGTTTTGATGATGAAACAAGACAATACCTAAATGACACAAAGTAAATACTCAGTAACGGTATTACTATTATTAATGTCCTAGAGATGTTGAACTAAGTCATCTGAAAGTCCCCTTCTCCCTTGATAACAATAAATGATACAATTATTCTCACCATCAGAAGTGCCCAGTGCTAACACTGTGCTGGGAGGGAGTGGCTGAGGAGGGTTTCACCTCTGAGCCACTCCGTTTGCCACGGGCATTCAGGGACACGTAGGCTGCCCGTGTGGCTGGCCTGGCCGCCTGCACTGTGCAGCTCAATGAGCGGCACATCCTCACTGTGCAGTGTTTTCAGGGACTATCCTGGGTGAAAGCCGTGATGTTTTCACTTCACGTCATGGAAGAGACTTCTGGGCCCCTCAGACATCCAGCAGCTGGTCCTGGGGGGCACGTGCTTCAGAGGGAGGATGGGGGGGCAGCGGGGTGGGTGTCACCTGGCACCATGACCTGCACTTGAACCTGCAGGCCTCCTGCCTGCTGCCGTCAGCATGGATAGGGAGGGTCTCCTGGTCAAGTCCGTGTGTCCCCTGGGCACAGCCACATGCCCTGTTCACTGTGCCCACCAGGAACTTGGCATTTGGTGGCGAAGGGATTTTACCAGGTGACACGGTCTCCTTTTTCCAGGCTTTGGGTTAGGACCTGCCCACATTCTCCAACCCCCTTCGCCTCCCCCTCCCTGACTGGAAGCTTGCTAACTTGTGGGCATGCTTCTTGCCCTGCCAGGTGGAGCCCCTGCTCTTGCTGAAGGCGGCCCTCATCCTGCAGACCTGCCAGCGCTGCCCTCACGTGCTAGCCGGCTGCATCCTCTACAAAGGCCTGTGAGTATCACCAGAACCTCCCCCCCGCCCCCCGCCCCCGTCCCCTGCTGCAGCCCCTGGGGCCAGATCATGCTGCCCCAGGCTGTAGGCAGGAGCTCCATCTAAGGCCAGTTCCCAGCTGGCTGGTTTGGCAAGTATCAGGAGGTAGGTCAGACTTGATTGAGGCTAGGTACCTGTCTTTGAGCAAAGCTGGGACATTGGACACTGCTGTGTCCAGAAAACAGGAATAGAAAAGCCAGGCGTTTATTTATTTATTGAATTTATTGGGGTGACATCGGTTCACAAAACCATATAGGTTTCAAGTGTACAACTCAATAAAACACCATCTGCACGCGGCATCCTGTGCCCATCGCCCCGATCTCTTTCCGTCCCCATTTACCCCTTTGCCCATCTCCACCTCCTCCCCACCTATCACTACTGTTGTCCGTGTCTATGTGATATGCGTTTGTTTTCTGGCTAATCCTTCATCTTCTTTCATCCTCTGACAGCTGTCAGTCTGTTCCGTGCATCCAGGGGCAAAGGCAGTTTAAAGAGATCTTAGAGTTCTCAGGACAGGGCACGCATTTCTAGTTGTCAGTCTCTAGGTGATGGTAGTGCAAAGGCGCCAAGGTCACAGCAGGGGCATGTCGGTGAGGAGGCGGGGCTTGTGGCATCCTCAGGGAGGGGGCGGGGCTTGTGGCATCCTCAGGGAGGGGGCGGGGCCTGCGGCATCCTCAGGGAGGGGGCGGGGCCTGCGGCATCCTCCTGTGACTGCAGCTCTGCTCTGCAAAGCGGTGGTGGTGCTTCTCCTCTGACTCCTGCAGCCTCTTGTCTGTGCTGTCCCTTGCTTGGCTCCGAGATCTCAATCCTCTCACGCACATGAGCCTGAGTGCCCAAGAGGCCCTCCACGCATCTTCCAGGGCCTCTCCTGCTGGAGGGCTCGCCCTCACAGCCCAGGGCAGGCCGGGCTGAGCCTGTGCCCAGAGCTTTCTGATGGCGGGGGGATGTGAGGCCGGAGGAACTCTCCACGCCCCTGGGGGCGTGTTCCCAGCCGCGAGATTTTCTCAGTCCATTTTGGTCTACTTCATAGTAGCTGCACGTTTATTAGTTAATTTAAATATTAATTTAATAATTTGTGAATAGTTAAGTGATTAATTTAACTGTTCTCTTTTTGATGGAAATTTAAGTTGTTTACCTTTTTTATTTTATTTTTTAATCTTACCTTTTTTTTCTCTGTAATGAAAATTCTGCATATTTCTTGGTACAAGCCAGTCAAAGGGTTGGGACATTTACAATTTTAATGGAAGTCGCCAGAGCGCCCTCCATGAGGGCTTTACCAGCTGTGTCCCCAAGATCCGGCCAACGTGGGGGGTGAGGAGTCTTTTCACGCTGTCCTTGTTCCTGTCTGACCTCCCAGGATTGTGAGCACCCAGCTCCCGCCCTCCCTCACGGCCAAGGTCCTGCTTCATCGAGCTGCACCTTGGGACCAGGTATGGCTCAGCCACCACCTGGCTGGCAACTTCCGCCCCAGAGGGACAGGGGCGTCGGGGACAAACTTACTTTATGAGCAGACGGCCTAGTCAGTCCCGATGGTCAGCGAGGAGGAGCGTGGTACCAGCGCCACCTTGTGTGTGTGTTTACTTTCAGAGAATACCCACCGGAGGGCATGCCCTGCAGGAGCGTGGTGAGTCGGGAGGTGCATTGAGGATGCATCCTTTATGCTGCCTGTCCCTAGAGAGTCCTGTGAACGTGTCCCAAATGGCATTTCATCTGCTCGGAAGGTTAGGGAAACGGATGGAACAGAGCTTCGAGGACAAAGCTAGCCATGGAAACGCTAATGGCAAATAAGGCTCGTAATTTTAGGCGCAGCTTCTTTAAAAACTAACTTACTGGGTGATGCCGGTTAGTAATGTTAACCGTTGGTTAATAAGTTACAGTTCTATAATAGGTTTTTATATGCCGCACTGTGTGGGCGCACCTGTTAGCTCCCACTTCCAATTCCTCAACTCACGGGAGCGAGACGGCTCAGACGGGTCCCCCTGGAGGGAGAGGACGAATGGCCAGCGCCCGGAGGACCCGTGCGGGACTGGACGCGTGCCCGGGAGGGTTGTCTGTGCTTAGAAGCATGAGTCGGGGCACATTCCTGCGGTCAGCTGGAACTGCTTTTGCCCGGTGGGCGTCTTACGTGCCACTGAGTTTTCCTCCACCGGTGCGCCCTCTCCTCAGCGGGGAGCAGTGTCCCCGTGGCTCTTCCTTGCCGACCACGGAAACCGTGGCCGCAGTTCTGTGCTTCTGTCTGGGCTGAGGCGTGTGTCACAGCTCTGCTCTCTGAGCCGGCACATTGGGGTACATGTGTCACCCCAAGGACAGCCACTCCCCTCTCCTCTGGTCCAGGGGGGGGGCCTCCCATGTTGCTTTGTGATTCCAGGAGCCGTCCTGCCCCCGAGCGTCCAGGTCATGCCTGTTTTTGTGACGGAGGAGGAAGCTGCCAGTCTCCATGAGTTCCCAGGGGAGCCCGTGGCCAGGTAGGGGAGCACCGGCTTCTCCTTAAGCCACGCTTTAGGGGCCCCTTTCACGGGTTTATGCACGCAAGCCCTGGGGCATCCCATCCCTCCTCCCTCTGGGACGTCAGCAGAGAGAGACGAGGCAGCAGCGTGGTGACAGGGCTGTGGGTTTCAAGCCCCCAACCTGTTGCTTATCTGCTCTGCGACCTTGGGCAAGTGCATTCACTACCTGAGCCTTACTTTTTATAAACTGGGCCCAGTAACACCCACTTCCTGGGCTTCGGTGAAAGCGGAAGCAGTGTTAGTATAATGCGCAGTGCAGGGTGCCTTATACCAGACCCCAGATGTGGCTGAATCCGGGGGCCTGCCGTCCCAGTAGATGATTCTGGCATCACCAGTGAAGCCCCAAGGGCCGGGCATCGCCTCATTTTTAACCCTGTGGTTGGCAGTCACCCCGTCACCCCCGTCACCCCCGTCACCGGGGCGGTGCGTCAGCCTCCCCGGGGAAGGCCCTGTCTGTCGCTGTGTCCTCATGTTCTCCCTGTTCGCAGCCCTCCCGCACCTCCAGCCGGACTCCAGGGGCGCTCGGCTCGGCACCCTCGGAGCGGGGGCAGCCCCTCTGCCCGGAAAGAAGGCGGGCACGAGGAAGCCGTGGCCCGGCCGTGGGCGCCCACCCCTAAGCCCAGGCCCGCGGACGCCGCTGGGCCACGTGGCAGGGGGGAGCGTGGACGCCTCTCCATCCGTGACCTGGAGGGCGCCCGGCCGGCAGACCCACAGGCCGCTGCCCGGGACCAGAGTCCTGGCCGCCGCCGCTCCCCGGGGGCAGTGACGGGGCACGAGGAGCTGGACTTGTCTGAGATCCACATTCCAGAAGCTCGGGAGGCGCCAACAGCCTCCGGTTCCCCTGCCGTCTCCAATGGGCGTGTCCCCGATGGCGGTGGTCCTTGTCCCACGGAATCTGTCAGCACCTCTGTCCACCCCGAACCCTCGGAGGCCCTGCCTGCGGGCACAGCCGTCGCCGGCCTCCCCTCGCCCTCCGCTCCCGACGCGCTCGCCCGCAATGGAGCCCTAGAGCAGCGCGAGGACCTCTCGGGGGACAGCAGCCAGGCCCCCGTTCTCAGGGGAGACCCCCTCCCCAGAAGTACAGGCAGGCCATCGCCATCTCCGTCGCCATCGCCGTCGCCGTCGCCGTCGCCGTCGCCTCGCCCGGATTCCAGGGGAACTGAGCCCCCGGAGCGGGGAGAAGGCACGGAGCCGCGTGGGGATGGGGCTCGGGAGAGCCGCCCAGCCCCCGGCCTGGGGTGCCCCTCGGGCTGTGCAGGCCTTCCCGACCACAGCCCCTCCCCAGACAGCGCGGCCCCCGGGGCGGCCCCCGTACCCCAGGGAGAGCTGGTGCGCATGAGCCTCTACACGCACAGCGTCAAAGGGCTGGTGCTGGCCCTGCTGGCCGAGGAGCCCCTGATGGGAGACGGCGCCGCCATCGAGGAGGTGGTGAGTGCTCGGCCGCCCCAGCCCTGGGAACGCGGGCAGGGAGGTGCTCCCTGAGGCCGAGCAGGAGGGGACAGGCCTCCGTGCTGCGTGCCCTGGTGCAAAGGCCCTGCTGATTGGGTGTGTGTGTGTGTGTGTGTGTGTGTACCTGCCTTCCTGGGCTTGTGGGGTGAGTGAGAGCAAGCCCAGGCACAGCTTGTTTTGCAACAGGCCCTGCTGTTTTAGCGTGGTCATGCGCACACGGCATTGTTGTGCCATTGCCACCTCTGCTGGCCTCACTTCTAAACCTCGGAGTCTGTCCCTGCATGGTCAGTTCAGAAGCTCCTCTTCCCTGCTTACCCCCGCCCCCCTCACCACTGAACCACAGGGACCGGAGGCTCCTTCCCAGAGGCCTGGACATCCGAAAGCCTAACGGGCTCCAGAAGTTCCTCTTAACTAACCGGTCCCAGCCCTGCCCCACTTCCAGCAGTTCCTTCTCTGGGGCCTGCCCTGGAGATGCAGTTGCTATAGTAACAGCCTCCTGGAAGTGGTAGCGATAGGAACAGGAGGTTGAAATTGCTGCAGGGTGATGGTGTCCTGGGGCTTGCCTTGTTTCTGTTCTTAAATCTGTATTATTCTAAGCCGGTCTCATCAGCATGCAGGGCTGTGACCCCCATAAAGGAGAGAGTCACCTTGCAGCTCAGAGGCAGAGGGAAGGCAGCTTCCGGGCTCAGAGCCCCAGGCGGCTGCTCCTCTGCAGACCTGCCTGCTCCACTCCCCTCTTTCCTCAGACACTGTCACCAGTGGTGCTCCTCTGCTCCTAACCCTCCTCCACCACAGCTCCCAGCGCCCCGCCACCACCTCCTCTGACAACACAGGGACCACGGACTGTACATCCTGAAGGCTTTGGTTTCCATGGTCTTTTCTGTTCAGCCTCGAGCTGTAAACAAATTATTTTGAAGGTCTAGTGTTTGGGTGCAATAAGGTAGATATGACAGCTCTTTTACCTTCCCCCCAAAAAAGAAAAGGAAAAACCAGTTCAGACTGCACTTGAAGAAGGAAGTAAGATGTATCCTGTAGACTCAGTGTGTGCTAACCACTTGACATCCATCCTTTAGCCAGGCTGTGGGACGGTTCTGGGGCAGGCACTGTAGCTCCCATTTCACCAGCAAGAAAACAGGCCTTGTTGAGATAAAGACCTAATGCAAGTAGCGGGCCAAGAATTCTTGTTTCTCCTCCAGCCCAGCTACTCTGTCCCCTACTGACCTGACCTTGGAGTGGTCGGTGGGAAGGGGAGGAAAAGGGAGGTGCCCGCCCTGTGTGGCTCTGGATATGTGGGCACGCCCTTGGTGGGTCACAGCCCATCCATGTTGCTCGGACAGCTGCCAGGGGCTTTCCTGTTAAGTCAGGTGCAGTTAGGGCAGGCCCCTGGAAGAGAATGCAGCTTACTGGAGAGAGTAGGGTGCGATAACTGATGAGCTTGCTGGTGTGAGCCTGGGGTGAAGGCCCAGACCCAAAGGCTGCCTCCTCGTCATTTGGGGAGAGGGCCTTTATTGCCCTTTCGCCTCAGACCTGATTTCCGCCCGCTGCAGTCTAGAAAAGCAAGGCCCTGCAGAAGGGGAAGCTGCAGCTCAGGTGACAGCGAGCACACCCCCTCCCTGGCTCTGTCACTCACTGGCAAGGCAGCCTGGTGTCATCTTGCCATCTTGTCTTTCAGCGAATCAACTGCCAATCTCTAGGGTGGGTGGCTGGGAGGTGGGTGGAGGGATTGAAGGGGGAGCAGCAGGAGAGATCAGATCAATTCAGAGGGAACAGACTAGACTCCCACCAGGGGGCAGCATAGAGCTGCTGATAGTTCCTGCTCAAAACCCAAAGGACTCTCACTGACCTTCACATACAGGGATCACACCAGTTCTTCATGACTGATGGGACACTGAGCTGTCTGTGTGCTGGGGGTGAGCTTGGGCTTAGGGTAAGAGTGAGATGTGGAGGTGCTCCCCTCCCTGGGAAACCGGTGCTTCTGAGGGATGTGTCCGGGCATCGCTGGTTCTGCCCCTGATGGCACTCTCACATCCGACTAGAAGCGGGAGGAGCCAGGAGTTAGGCCCAGCTCCGTGTCTCCAGGGCAGTGGTGAGGACTGTGTGTGTGTAGCATGTATGGGGTTGGCAGACTTCTAATGCCAAGGAACACACAGCAGGTATTTTCCGCTTTGCACAACTAGTGACCTCTGCTGTGACGGCTCACAACCTTAGACAGTATGTAAATAACTGTGTCCCAATAATACTTTATTTATAGACACGAAGTTGGAGCCTCAATAATTTTCATGTGTCACGACATTAATCTTTTGGGGTCCCCCCCCCCCCCAACCATGTACAAATATAAAAACTCAGCTATTCTTAGCTCTCGGGCTACACAAAAACGGAACGGGCTGGATGTGGCATCGGCGAGGGTGTGTAGGCCGGGCAGACATGGAAGCACTGGCTCACTAGTAATTACTGTGCACGTCATTGGATGATTTTCATACTCTTGCTTCTGTAAAAATGCCTTCTCAGGGTGGCGCCTTAGAGTTTACAAAGGATTCTTTAAAAATGTATTTTTATTGATTTCAGAGAGAGGGGGAGAGATAAAAAATACCAATGATGAGAGAGAATCATTGACCGCTGCCTCCTGCACAGGGAGGTGGGGGTCCGGGCAGGGGGCTGTGCAAACGGGCAGCCTCCGTGGGAAGTCGTAGCTGGAAGGAGAAGTGTGAGGGCCAACAACAGCGGCTGTTTCTGGGTGGTGGGATTATGGGCTGTTTTTCTTTGCTTTTTCCTTCCTTTTAAAATGTATTTTTCTGTACTTTTACAACAGCATTAAAACATAAGGGCAAAAGGTAGCACTCCTCTAAAAATGGGTAAGAACGTTGGTCAGCGTCCTTCCTGCCAAGTGGAGTAGCCACACAGGGGTGGTTTGGCTGAGCGTTTGCTGGGCGTGGGGCCTGCGGGTTAACCGCAGCCGTGGCCGTGGGCCCCTCCGCAGTTCCACAGCAGCCTGGCGTCCCTGAACGGGCTGGAGGTCCACCTGAAGGAGACGCTGCCCCGGGACGAGGCCACCTCCTCCAGCAGAACCTACAACTTCACGCACTACGACCGCATCCAGAACGTGCTGACGGGTGAGGAGCCGGAGCACCGCCTGGAGGGGGTGGAGGGTAGAACTGGGCCCCGTGAGCGGAGGAAGGATGTCGCCGCTCTGTCCAGAGCTGCCCATGTGCAGTAGCAAACACCTCCGTGCTCCTTGCTCCTTTTTTGGCTGTCTCTCCAGTGTCTGAGAGAAGCACACACATGTTCAAATATCTGTGATAAGATTCTTCCTAAAATTGATACCCACAAGCCGGTGCCGCTTATGATCGGGGACAGTGCCTGCGCCGCTGCTCAGCAGCTGTCAGGCCTCTGTCCCTCCCCCTCGGCACTTGCACGCGTGTCCGAGGCGACAGGCCCAGGTTGGGGGGACCTGGGTGGGAGTCCGCCACTCACTGCCGTGTCCTCTTCTGGAAGCCAACCTGCCCCCGGTGGCCACAGCCCAGGACCGCCGCTTCCTGCAGGCCGTCCGCCTGATGCACGCAGACTTTGCCCAGCTGCCCTCGCTGTACGAGATGACCCTCCGGTGAGCCTCCCCCGCGCCACCTCACGGTCCTGCACAGGAATCACCTTCCGGGGGCCCGGGCGGGGGAACATTCCAGTCACTGCCTTTAGGGTCTCCTTTTATTCGTCCTGGTGGCTGCTGTCATCTACTCGCATGCTTTCCTGTGTCGTGTACTTCGGGGTCCCATCCTGGGGCTCAGACCTGCTGTAGACATTGGGGGACAACGGTGAGGACGCCTGCTGTCCTCCCCCTCTGAGCTTTCATTGGCTGCTGGGGAGGAGGGTCTCCATCTCCTTGTCTGAATGATGCCGAGTGATGTACCTGTCACATCATCACGCTCATTACAGTCCTGTCTTCTCCCAGGTCGAGAAAGTCAACATTTCCCCCTCACCATCAGCAACCCAGAGACACCCCCTGTTGTTAGTTTGGTGTATATTACTCCAAGTCTTGTTTCTAATGTGTGTGTTTGTTTTTTTATATGAAATACAGGCTATTAATATTTCTGTTAATTATTTTAAGTCTTCTAGAAAACAGGATCATACTAATGTACTGTTCACACGTCCCTTTTCCATTCCATCGCATGCCCTAAACACCTCCATGCCAGTCACAGCTATCTCTTCACCATTATTGTCACCTGAGTACGTAACCCAGTGAATTCTCCTTTCTCCCCCATGCTTCTCCGTGAAACCAGTAGCAGGACACAAGGCAAGTGGGAAGGTCCGAGGGGAGCGCCTGCTGTGTGACTAGCATCCCCGTTAGTCCTGGGACGATCTGGACACGTGCATTTCCCCTCAGTGCACAGGTGGGGGCACTGGGGCACAAGCAATAGCAGTGACTTGCCCCAGGGCACATTCTTTTAAAGTGGCAGGGCCGGGCTTCGAACCCCTGTCTCTCTGACTCTGAAGTACATGCTCTCTCCCCACGTTTCCAGTTTGGGGGCCTCTAAGGCAGGCACACACACAGTCTGTGCGGTCTGAGATCTGCTCTGGCGGCAGCGGGCTGTTACCTTCTCTCTTCCTGTCCTAGAAACGCCTCCACGGCCGTGTACGCCTGCTGCAACCCGGTCCAGGAAACCTACTTCCAGCAGCTGGCGTCGGCCCCTCGGACCTCCGGCTTCCCCAGCCCCCAGGATGCCACTTTCGGCCTCCCGGGCAAAGCCAAGCAGAAGCTGCTCAAGCACGGGGTGAACTTACTGTGAACTGGGCCTCACCGGGACCCAAACAGCCCAGCGCGGTACCCACCACGGAAGCGCTGCCTTCTTACCCAGAAACACGCCGTCCACCGTCCTGGGAACGCTCCTTTTCAGGAAGCTGTGACGTTTGCGAGTTGGATGCTCCTTTACAGATGGGAGGGGACGGGGTAGTTCTTCGGTCTGCAGACCTGGAGCCGTAATGAAGACCTTGATTCACTGGCAGTGCTGGGCCAGACAGGTGCTTCGGCTCCTGACATCTCAGCCTTAACGTGAGCCACAAAATACAGGCAGCATTCTTTCTAGAACGCAGCTGTCCCAAGTGTTTTCCAGCCCTGCCTGCAGGGGGCGATATGAGGTGTGAGCGCACGGAGAGGTGGCAGGTTTGTTTGCAAGCTGCCTGGAACACCACTTCCCAGTGGGACTGTCTTCCGAGCGGTCCTCCCGGGAGGCAGGGCTGGGACAGCGGGGGGAGGGGGAGGACACAGAGCTACCTCGTCTGAAGTATCCTGGAACCGGACTCAAAACTTAGAGCCCAACCCTGGCCAGTTTGGCTCGGCAGGTAGAGTGTCAGCCCGTTGACTGAACCGTCTCGAGTTGGAAATTCCAGGGTGCAGGCTCGAACCCAGGTTGCGTGCGGGAGGCAACCAGTGTGTCTCAGATCCTTGCTTTGCACCCCTCCCGCTTGAGTGAATGTCCCCAAACGGGAGTTTCCAAAATTTGGGGGGCAAAAGCAGACCCATGCTTCCGTGTGGCTGTGTGTGAGGGAACCACCTTCATGTGTGTGTTTCATGTCTATTACATTACAGTCAGACACGTTATAATGCGGTACAGTTCATAGGATGAAGCTATTGACCAAAGTCTCCTCTCAGTGTTTACTGGAAGATTCCATTTGAAAACTGCCATGTTAGCCAGGACCGGTTTGGCTCAATGGTAAATAATGGCATCTGATGGTTATGGCATGGTGTCTTTTTCTTGAGACAAGTTTCCAAGGGCTAAAATAAAATAGCCAAAGTTGCCGTTGAGTTCTGATTCATTAAAGAGCAACATTTCTGGTGACCAAGTTGGGGGAGGAGGCGGTGCTTTGTGTGTGCGTGTACGCACATATTTTGCGTGGGCACGCAGGGCGGCCAGAGGAGGAAGGTGCACTTCAGAATGGTCTCTGCGTGGGCGATGGGGCCCAGCCAGCTGCTCCCAGGAGCTCCAGCTTCCGCAAGGCTCGCCCCCAGCCCCCTGCCCCACCCTCCTGCCACTGGCTGGCCCAGAGGGCCATCTTCCCATGGGGAGGACTGCACCTCCAGCTACGGTAAATACCGATGTTCCTACTTCTCTGCTAAGTTCTCCGAGAAAAAATTCATCACAGGTCTCCCCGCCAACCACGCAAGGAGCCTTCGGGACTGGCTTACACAGGACACGCTGCTTTTCCTTTTTTCCTTGGGGGCGTTTGAAGCCGCCGGCTTTTCCTCCAGCTCCAGAGCTGCCACCCCAGCGTGGAGCCTGGTGGGTTACAAGCTGTCGTGTGGTGAAGCGGGGACAGCTTGGAGCCCGGGCCCATTTCCACCCGCCCACCGGGAGCTCGGCGAACCGTCTGGTTCAAGGGCCCTTCACACGAGATGTTTCACAAGAAGATCGCTGCCTGCGCTGGGCCTTCCTCCGTGGCAGGCCACTGGCAGATCTTACTTGTTTCGCATCCAGAAACCTCTCTTCCCATCTGATTTCCCAGGGCTGCCATCGAGCGAGAAATGCTTTTAATACAAAATGCCTTGGTTTCGGAGAGTCAGTGCTCAGCAGCCAGGTCTTCCCTTGAAGGGGAGTCTGCGCAATCCAGTGAGGAGCCCTTGGGCTCCTAGCAGACCCAGCCAGGCCCGAGGGCGGGGGGAGGGTGACTGGTGCCATCTGTGTGCCGGGAAAGAGGCATTGAGTCTGAATGGACATCCATCTCCAACCAGCTCCGGTGGCAACAGCACCTGTGGGCTTTGGTGTGAGTCCTGGGTTCCACTCACAGCTCTGGGACGTGCTGCCCTGGACATTGATCCAAGTTATTTCGTTTCTCTCAACCCCAGGGTCATGCTCTTTAGAATGGAAAGGAAGTCGCAGTGTATTTAGAAGTGTGGCTTCCTGTGTGCCCTCTGCCAATGGGTGCAGGTGGGTGTCCCCGTGCAGGGGTCCCTCTGCAGAGGTGAATGTATGTCTGAGTTCAAGGTGGCCGAGTGTACTTGGCTGCCTGGTTTCTCACTGCCCCTGTCCTCCTGCCACCGCGTGACCTTGTGGTCACACCCCCTGCCCGCTCTGAGCCCGTTTCTCCTGCTCAGTGTGCACCACCGTCCCTCCTTACCCGTGTGGCTGTCCGTGTTCGTGTGGAAATACTGCACGTGGAGGACTCTTCTAGAGTGCACGGTGCTCTGCACTCAGGGGGAAGGCCCTCACCTTGAAGCGGGGTGGCTAAGGCACCGGAAGTGTGGAAACACGGGGAAGGTGGGGGTAACTAGGAATCAGGACCAACGTGTGTGCCTGGGAGGGAGGCAGAAAGTCAGTCAACCCATGTGCGCTGCCTGCTGCCACCTGACGCTACAATCTGCCTGAGTATTCTTGCTGCCATCTGTCAGCAGCTCGGAAATATGTGGCCTTATTTCGTCCTGCTCCCTGTGCTCACATCTGCTTAGCAAGACACCGCTGGGGAGGCAAGGTTATGGGGGTGCTGGCGGCAGGCCGCAGTGGTCCTTGGGAACAGCGTGTTGTACTCACCTTTGTTCTCGTGTTTACATTTTAAAAACATGTCTGGAGCATGCTCAACCCACCCAGAATGTGACATGTTGTCTTAGGCCTGAAAGTAGGCACTGTCCTCACTTTATAGTTGAGGCTCAGAGCGGATGAGGACTTTTTGGTGGAAAGGGATAGAAACCATGACTCAAACTTGGCTTAAGAATAAAGGGGGACCCTCGAAGTCACTGATCATCAGAGAGATGTAAATTAAAACAATGAGGTACCACCTCACACTGTCAGAATGGCTACCATCAACAAATCAACAACGAGTAAGTGCTGGTGAGGAAGTGGAGAAAAGGGAGCCCCAGTGCAGACTAGAGCAGCCACCGTGAAGAACAGTATGGAGTTTCCTCAAAAAATTAAATATGGAACTGCCATTTGACTCAGAGACCCCACTTCCAAGAATATATCCTAAGAAACCTAAACCACCAATCAGAAAGAATATATACACTCTAGTTCATAGCAGCGCAATTTACAGTAGCTAGGATCTGGAAAGAGCCCAAGTGCCCATCAGCAGACGAGTGGATAAAAAAGCTGTGGTGCATCTACACCATGGAATACCACGCAGCAGCCAAAAAAGGATCTCTTACCCTTAGAGACAGCATGGAGGGACCTGAAGAGTATTAAGTGAAATAAGCCAGTCAGAGAAAGACAAGTATCACATGATCTCACTCGTATGTGGAATCTAATGAACAAAATAAACTGATGAGCAAAATAGATCCAGAGACACGGAAGCATGGGACAGACTATCGAGTCTCAGAGGGAAGGCGGGGGTGAGCGGATGGGAAGAGATCGACCAAGAAACCTGTATGCATATCGATAGCATAACCCATAGACGGGGACAACAGGGCGGTGAAGGCAGGGGCAGGGCCGGCTACAAGGGGTCAGTGGGGGGAAGGGGGGGCATATGTAATACTTCCAACAAGAAGGATTTTAAAAAGAAAAGGATAAAGGGGGAAGCTTATTGGCTCATGTAACTGAAAAGTCCAGAGGTAGAGCTGGTTTCAGGAAAAGTTTGTTAGGCTCAGATGATCCCCAAGGTTGGGGCGGATGGGAGGGGAGGGGGGGGAAATCTCTTTTTCTCTGTGGCTTTCACTCTCAAATTTTCTTTGCACTAGATCCTCAGTCCATCACTGACAAGTTGCCTCTCTTTCTCAATGGTCCCAGCAAAGGATTTGAATCATATGCGCAGCCCTGACCCAATCTGACTGTCCAGGGGTTTAAAAGACTTCGATGAGTGCGGAGAGGGTCATGTGCCCGGCCCTGGCGCAATCTCTGAATAGCCAAGAGTTTGGAAGGCTCTGATTGGTCGGTTCTGGATCCTAAACAAAGCCCTGCAACTGGGGCTGGGTCACCTCCCGTTAACCCAAGGAATGAGAATAGGGGTGTGATGGTCTTGTGAGTGGCTCACCAGGGTGTTTAAAACACTGCCCGTCCCCTCGAGGCCAGGGGGTGGCCTGCCCATCATCACACAGGGGCCCGGCCCAGACTCTCTCTCATCTCCCGCTGCCTGGTCCAAAGGCTTTCCTATGTTTGCTATTCGGGGCAGAGCCCTCGGTTCCAGTCCCACATGGGAACCCAGGCACGGAAAGGGTTGAAACAAACACCAGGACTGGACCACACCCCCTGAACCAAGAAACGAAGTGCCTGGGGCATCGGTATTTCTCAAAATACTGACTGTAGTGTGCAGCCAAGGTCAAGAACCCGTGATCAGGCGTACCGCCCCCTCCCCCACTCCAAGCTGTAGGGTAGTCATTACAGGTGTGGTCACGGTCACCAAGGGGCTCAGAACCCAGAGAATCTGGATGAGTTGGGGGCTGATGAGCAGGTGCCTGGGAGACTGGGATGTGACCTTGTGCAGCCTGGCCTCGGAGCGGACGCAGGCTGCCTCGGGGCAGAGGCAGGCTTCTCACCGGAGCTGGGCGGACACGCTGGCCCCTTTGTCGCCCTGAGCGTCCCAGGCCGAAGCACACCAAGTACTTCAGCAGCTGCCTCGTTGGCGGCGCACCCTGGAGAGAGAGACACCGTGGTCTCCAGCGAGCGCTGCTCTCCCGTTTGCCAGGGCGGCCCAGCTGGGAGCCAGGGCTGTGGGCTGGGAGCAGGCTTGCGTGGGAAAACACCTGGCAGCCAGACTGCTCTGGGGTTCCAGGCCACCAGGGCCATCTGTCCCTCTCCTGAGACAAAGGGGACATTTTTCTAATTGTGGCTACTGGGGAACCTGCTTCTACGGCTGCCCTGGCCGCCACCCCCTGCCCCCCTCCGGATCAGATGTGTTCATCCACTCTGCCTCACCCATCCTGCTCCTCCCGTTTTTCTGGAACTTCCTGGAACCACGGCCATGGCAGGAAGGGACCAGCACCATGGCTTTGCCTGGCAGGGACCATCCCTACAGCGGCGCCATGTGAGGCTCCCAGAGGCTGCGGGACTGGCCAGAGGTCACGTGGGAAGGAGACCTGGCACTGAGTCCTGGCACCAGCTTTCCCTACGCCGAGTCCCTGCTCTTTGCCAGGGTGACCCTGGCCATTCTGTGACCTTCCGTGGGCCTGTTCTTGTTTCTCCCGCCCCCCGCCTGCTATCTTAGAACATCCTGCTTCAGTCACGGTTACACCGTGAGGGTCCCGCCTGCCGCTGGGACACCATCCAAAAGCCAAGAGCCTCCGACTCAGACCTGTGCCCCTCTCAGGGCTCCTGCCCAACAGACAACGTCACCGCTGCACAGTGGTTTTCAGCGAGACCCTTTATTGGCCTCCTGGTCCCCATCCCGTCACACGAGCACAGGCAGACGGGCGCCTGCGCGGGCTGTTGGCTTTGTAAACGCAGAGTGGTCGGTGTGCAGAGAAATCATGCGCCTCGGTGACTCCTGAACAAACACAAGTAAAGAGAACTTCGGTGCTTTGAAAGGTCTGCCCTTTCCTGCATCCTAGTCACTGGGAAATACCTCACAGACATTTCACTCAACCGCAGACACGTCATCTCGGCTCGCTTGCTAGGATCTGCTAGTGCGCTGCAGGTCGTGGTTCCTTCTCACAGAAGCTGCTGGCTTCCATGTGGATGGATCACGGGGCCTGCCCCTGTGACAGGCTTGTATTTGAACCGTGTCACGGCCTCACCGACCTGACGCTGCCGTTACCCATGATGCAAGCCGGCATCTCGTATGGAAGGAGGAGCTGCCCTCCACACCTCAGCTAACAGGAGGATGTTTCTAGACTTAGCGCCCCCTCCTGGCCCTGCCCTTCACAGGAGATGGAAGGGCCGGGCCAGCTCCGGGGACCAGGGCCCTTTGGGTCTGTAGGTCTTCCGGGGATCCTGTCTCACACATTCGCTTTGGCTGCCAATAACAAGGCCACAGGGCTGACTCTCCCGCTGTTTCTGAGTCCAGCGTTTGCACATTTATGTACAGACATGTAAATGGAAAATCATAGGCCACGAAACTCCAAACGAAACAGACACTTGGGTCACACCCAGAGTTCCGGTTCTGCCGGGAAACGGCTTCCCAGGTGTCACTGGACACGTGCAGGCCTGGCCCGTCACAGCCCCAGTGGGCCGACCAGGTGGCCTCGGAGGTCATCGTCAGAACGGCTCAGACGGGGACTGTGCGGGCCCGGGTGGCAGTGGGGCTTCTGTGGGCAGTGAGGTAAGTGACGTACACCTTCTGCGGCCGATCCGTGGGAGCCCCGCCCGAGGACACCAGCCTCGGCTCGGAAGGAGAGCCACGTGGCAGAAAAGCCTCTGGTCCCGCAGCCGCACGCTCTCCGCCATCAGATGAACACGGTTTGCGGTGGGGTGAGCGGATGGTGACATTTCCCCAGGCCATGCGTGTCCCTGACCGTGTCCGTCCTGCCCCTGACGTGTCCGTCCTGCCCATGCAGCTGGCCGGGGGCAGGGCCTGCAGCCTCCACCTGCCTGGGGGGCGGAGGGTCCCCCTTGTGACGGCGACAGCAGCGGAGGCCACTCTCCAGCGCTCTGGGTTGCAGTGTTTTCTGTCTTGTATGGCGGCCACAAGCAGCTTTACGTTGTTACCTTCACACTGAAAAGGGCCAGCGGCAACGTGACACTGCCAACGGGGGCGCCAGCCTCTGGCCCCAGAGCCCAGGACCGCGTCGTTAGCGGGAACGAACCGCAGAAGCAAACGAACGGACGGACGGAGGGAAAAAGACCTCTAAGGAAAGACAGAGCGGAAATGTCCCACTGACAACGGGAGGAGAGAGGGACCCCGCACGGCATAAAAACCCCGAAGGAGCGCTTTCTGTCGAGGCAGGTTTCTGAGCATGGGATCGTTCAACGCGGGCGCCGGGCCGGGCCTGGCCGTCCCCCCGGCTGTCCGTCCAGGCTGGCCCCAGGCCTCTCTCGCCGACCTGGCCCGGGACGTGTTCTCATCGGCCCGGAGCAAAGATGAAGTCCAGGGCCTGCCGTTCCGCCGCGGCCACATTCGGATGCCACAGGTCCACCATGAACACCACCCGCGGGCCATCCTCCGCCGCACCTGGGGTGGGGGTGAGAGAGGAGAGGTTGGAGCAGCTCGGACCCAGGACCCGCGGTGAGCTTTCCAGCCCAGACCTGCTCTCTGGTCGGGAATGTGATCCTGGCTTCCTAGCAGAGTGCGGAACAGGTGCAGGCAGAGGGAGAGGGGTATGAAGCTATCCCGTGTGATCTTGTCATGGTCCATACATGTCATTATATGTTTGCCAAAGCCCACAGAATGTTCAACATAGAGCGAACCCTAGTGCAGACTATCCACTTAGTTAACAACAGCATGTCACTATGAGCTCCGTCAGTTGTAACAGATGCACCACGCTAATGCCAGATGCTAGCAAAAGTGGAAACTGTGTATCGGGATGAGGGAGGGTGCTGTGTACTTTCTGCTCCATTTTTCTGGAAACCTAAAACGTCTCTAAAAATAAAGTTCATTTTAGAAGGGCAGCAATACCCAGGCATTTTATTCTTTTGGTTGCTATTGCAAAAGGAATGGTCTTTTCCATTTCTTTCTCTGGAGTTTTGTTGTGAGTATACGGGAAGGCAATGGATTTTTGCACATTGATTTTGTATCCTGCAACCTGTCTGCATTTGTTTATTGTTTCTAGTAGTTTTCTGGTAGAGTCTTTAGGGTTTCCTATCCGCAAAAAGTGACAGTTTGACTTCTTCCTTCCCTATTTGAATGCCTCTTATTTATTTCTCTTGCCTTATTGCTCTTGTTAGGATTTCCAGGACTATGTTGAATAAGAGTGATGAGAGTGGACATCCTTTCTTGTTTCTGATCTTAGGGAAAAAGCTTTCAATTTCTCACACTAAGGGTTTATCATAGATGGCCTTTATTATGTTGAGGTAGGATTAAACTTAACAAAGAATGTGAAAGATCTATATACTAAAAGTTACAAAGCATTACTAAAATAAAAAGATTGAAAAAGACACAACAAAATGGAAAAACATCCCATGTTCATGGATTGGAAGAATCAACATAGTTAAAATGGCCATATAGATATTTAATGCAATCCCCTTCAAAATCCCAATATCATTTTTTAAAGAAATGGAATGAGAAATCATCAGATTTGTATGGAACCATTAAAGACTCAGAATAGCCAAAGCCATGCTGGAAAAAAAAAAAAAAAAAAAAAAAAAAGGAACGAAGTTGGAGGTATCACGGTACCTGACTTCAAATTAAAATACAGAGTTACAATAATCAAAACAGCATGGTATTGGCAGAGAAACATACACACAGATCAATGGATCAGAGTAGAGAATCCAGCTATAAAACCACATGCATATGGACAGATAACCACATGCAACAGAGCCAGAAACACATCTGAGTAATGGTAGTCTCTTCAATAAATGGTGCTGGGAAAACTGGAAAGCCACATGCAAATGAATGAAACTGGATTACAGTTTGTCCCCATGTACATAAATTAATTTAAAATGGATCAAAGACCTACACATAAGACCCGAAACTATAAGTTACGCAGCAGAAAACATAGGTACCAAACTCATGGACCTGACAGGACATTTTATGGACTTGACCCTAAAGGCAAGGGATGTAAAGGCAAAAATAATGAATGGAACGATAACAAACTAAAAAGCTTCTGCACAGCAAAAGAAACTGACAACAAAACAAACACGCAGCCAGCCAATGGGAAATTATATTTGCAAACAGTTGTTCCGACAAAGGTTTGATTCCCAAAATATATTTAAAAAATTCATAAAACTCAACACCAAACAAACAATCCAATAAAAAAGTGGGCAAAGGACCTGAAAATACACCTCTCCCAAGATATATGAAAAGATGTTCAACTTCCCTGACAATTAGGGAAATGCAAATCAAAACTACAATGAGGCCACCACACACCTGTCCGAGTGGCTGTTAGAAAAAAGACAAGCAATAACAAGTGTTGGAGAGATTGTGGGGGGAAAAGGGAACCTGCATTCACTGCTGGTGGGAATGTAGACGGGCATCACCACTGTGGAAAGCAGTTCTGGTGACTCCTCAAAACATTAAGCATAGAGCTACCATATAACCCAGCAACCTCACTCCAGGGTATATCCATGAAAAACTCAAAATCATGTATTCGCAAAGACTATGCGCCCCCGTGTCCATTGCAACATTATTCACGGTGGCCAAGGCATGGAGACAACCAAAGTGTCCTGCCATAGAGGACTGGATGAAGATGATGTGGTCCATACACTCAATGGAATGCTACTCAGCCATAAACAAGCATGAAAGAGTGCCATTTGCAACCCCGTGGATGGACCCTGGGAACATTATGCTAAAGGAAATAAGTCAGACAGAAAAGGCTGAGAACCGTATGATTTCACTGTGGGATATAAAACTGAAACGTATGAACACAAAAACAAAGTGGTGGCTGCCAGAAGGAAGGGGGTCCTACTATGAGGTGACAGGAGACTTGACGTTGGGTGGTGATCGCCCGGTGCAATAGACAGATCTGGTAACATAAAAATCCACACACGAAACCTGGATGTTCATGTTGACCCACGGCACCGCAACCAATTTAATGAAGTAAATAAATAAAAGAGCAGCGGGAACTCACCTTCATGGAATGCGGTGTGCAGGAAAGAGTCGTCAAAGAGAAGGCAGCGGCCTTCTGCCCAACACTGGGGCTCGCCCCCCACCACCAGCTCACAGCCACTTGGGGTTTTCAGACCTTGGGGAGGAAAAAAGAGCAGAGAGTGAAGGCAGGTGAGATCAGGCATGGCCGGAAGTCAGGGTGGCCAAAGTCAAGGTGACCGGAAGTCAGAGTGGCTGGAAGTCAGGGTGACCGGAAGTCGTGGGGCCGGACGTCAGGAATGGCCGGAAGTTGGGGGGCAGGCAGCTCTCGACTTCCAATCTTGGTCCTCACCCCTGGGGCCTCTATGTGGGGAGAGGGGTAGTTCAATAGGGCAAATGCGGGGTAAGCACCTGGACCCCCTCTGATCTCCTTGGGAAAACTCAATCCTCCATTGGCTTATTCTGCTCGGGGTCCTGGGCTCCTCTGCTAACGCCGGGCACCGAGGATCGCCCTAGGACCCCGGGAAACTGAGGGAGCAGTTCAGAACCCCGCCTTTCAGTAACCGTGTTTCCTACAGTCCCACCTGTAGAGCTGCTCTAGGTGAAGTCAAAGACGCCAAGGCTCACACGCTGCCCCCCTCTTTGGGTTCCAACTCTTCCATCCATTTGGAGGCCTGAGGATGGCATGTTGTGGATGGAGGTTTCCCCGGCTCCATGCTGGGAAACCGGAGGACACCCGCAAGAGAACGCCCGAGCTCCAGGAGGACATGGAGCAACACCTTCTGCGGAGCCACATGCTTACAGCGCCGGCGGCAAGGCCCATGCCTGGTGCCCGGCCCGGGAGGTCCGGGGAAGCAGGCCCTGGCGGAGGGGCTGGGACTGGGATGCTCTCATCCGTCCTCAGTGACTCACTGTGACAAGCACAGCCCCTGGGCCCGTCGGCAGTGTCCCTATGACAAACAGGAGATGACAGCCTTTTCTCTCACAGGCAGGGTATTTTAATGCACTGTCGGAGCCAAAAACGGATGGTTCCGGGAAGCACGAATGCAGTAAGAATTCTAACACAGGCCGCGCGGAGCCGGGGGAGGGACAGAGGCCCTGGGATCCGATCACTGACTCGGACGCGTATCTGCTGCGTGACTTTGGCAAGCACGCGTCTCTCTGAGCCACAGCCGCCTTGTCTGTAAAGAGGGGAGGTTAGCATACTTACCTGCCAGTGCGACTCCACCACTGTCCTTGCTACTAGTATCTGAAGACTGACTGTGTGCAGGCTTGTGTTAAACAAACTCTTTACAGACCTCACTTCACCTCTTCCCGGACGGAGCAAGCGGATATAGAGAAGCTAAGGGACCTGCTGGAGGTCACTATTTAGTCCTGGCAGGAGCTGAGATCTGAATCCAAACTGTCTGGCTTCATAAAAACAGGCTCTTACAACACTGGCCAGCATGATTTAAATGCTGGCTATTACATTAGTAGCAGTGGTAGGTAAGTGGTTGCTCGTTTTCCTGCAGTTAATGGTAAGTTTCAACCATCAATAGCACATTTCATTGAATCAGCTGAGACCGTCTGTTCTGACTTTGAAACTGAGACCTCCCACTACTGTTAACAAGTGCTGGGGGTCAGGAGGCCAGCCGCTGGCTCAAATGAAGAGCCCCCCCAGGCCACACCCCCTTCATGCGTGACCGCACTGGCTGGTGCAGGCGGAGAAGGTCTTCAGGACGGCGCTTGTCTGCAGGGACGGTCCACCCCGGGGTTTCAGAGAGAAGCTCTCCTTTCTCTGAGACACACTGAATGGCTGGTTGCCATTCGCCATGGTAAAGCAGAAAAAGGTGTGTCTTGCTGGCTTGCCAGCCCCCTGCTTCGTCCCCCCCTGCCTCCCCCACACTCTGCTCCAGCCTCCAGTGGCCCACCACACCTGCCTCTTGCTCACAAACCAGTTCAGTTGGCAGAAGTAATCAATACTCCCCCAAATGAGAATCCAGGTGGCTCCTGGGTTTGAGACAGGCCCCGCACATGGCCCGGGCCAGTCCCACATGCCCAGGCCTCCCTCTGGCTCAGGGTTCGCCGCTCTCCCCGCCAACCACTGATGGAGCAGGTGGAGAAAAGGCTCTGCCCACCAGGCCCGCTTCACAAGGCTGGCGGCCGACACTGAGGGTGGGCGAGGCAAACACAAGCCGATCTGCTGGCCCGGCACCCTGACGGCACACGCACGGGAGAAAACGGAGAGTCGAATTGTGCTTATTAGCGAGAAGTTGCTGAACATGCATTTTTATCTACCTTTTCCTGCGGGTTAGCCCTTTGGATGAGTGCCCGCCGCCCCGGAGACACCTGCCTGGTAATGGTCAGAGGCTGCTTCCTAGAGGTTTATGGCAGTGGGGTCAGGCCGTCCTAGCACCCCCTGCTCCCCTTCCCCGCCCCCCCCCCCCCCACACACACTGCTGGGTGGTGGCCAGGCTGGAGCTGTCCCTGGTTCCGCACGGAATCAAGGCTGAGTGACACCACCTCTGGAGGCGGCGCAGGACAGGGCTCAGCACGTGACTGGGCACATGAGGAGGGACAGTACCACCAGTCACAACGCACATGGCACGCAGGAAAGGAGAACAAGGCTTGGCACGCCTGAAATCACAAGTACCTCCGCCACCTACAGCCAGGTAACCGGCACAGGTGTGGCCCCCAGACACCTGTCCTGCTGGCCCTGCTTCTGACCTCATTCTCTGGCCTCCCTCTCTGTCAACACTCAAGGTCACATGACTCAAGCACACCCTTATTTCCTTCCTGGGCGGATAGGAACGTGGGCATGACCGTGGAGAGAAGGAAACGGTGAGCAGAGCCAACCACGGAGCTCGCCTGGCCACGGGGAGGAGCCACGCTCCGATGGGACGCCTCCCAAGGTTCCCGCTGTGCTGGGAGCAGGACGTGGCCGGCTGTTTCTGGCGGCCAGTAACCAGCTGGCCACGGAGGGAAGCACAGGTCATGGAGGGACCCGTGTGGGTGTGGTTTACACACACACACACACTGCATGGATGCACAACAGGCATTTATACACAGGAGGCAAATCTTTGGTTCTCGCCAACTACTCAGCCCTTCCCACTCAGCACGCCCACCCTGAGTTCCACCTCACCTATCCTCAAACGCCCTTCCCTGCATCATTTTGAAGTTTTTATAAAACATAAAAAGAAGCCTTTTAAAACAACAGCGTTGCCGAAACCGGTTTGGCTCAGTGGATAGAGTGTCAGCCTGCAGACTGAGGGGTCGGATTCGATTCTGGTCAGGGGCATGTACCTTGGTTGCGGGCACATCCCCAGTGGTGGGTGTGCAGGAGGCAGCTGGTTGATGTTTCTCTCTCATCGATGTTCCTAGCTTTCTATTCCTTTCCCTTCCTCTCTGTAAAAAATCAATAAAATATATTATTAAAAAAAAACAAAAAAAACCCACAAAACAAAGCGTTGTTCCCATTGCCCACAGCCTTAACACCAAGCCTGACGGGGGAGCAGGAGGAGATTCTGTGGTTTGCTCCCACCAGGCCCTCCAACCCCGGCCTCCACCACTGGTCACCCCAGCAAGCCAGACACGGCTCCCCAACCCCCAACTTCCTGCCCAACTGCACCCTTCAAGGCCAGCCCACCTGCCCCGAGCAGCCCTCCCGTCCTCTGACCTCAGAGAGCACCCTGGTGCCTCGCACAGGGATTTCGCTCATCGTGACCCGTCACGTGGATGACCAGCTCCGCTCTTAGGTTCCTCACGGCCCCCCTGACCTGACCGCTCTCGACCTCCGAGCACCTCACACGCACAGCACTGCCAGGCCTCCACCGGCCCTCAGGCGGGGAGCACTACCTCCATTCCAGAGGGGAGCACGGTGGCTCCAAGGTCACTCAGCGTCCACGCGCATGTGCTTCCGCAGTCTGCTCGTTCCCCACTGTTCCCGAGGGCAGAGGCCGTGTCTCACGGGTTCCTTATCACACGGTCCAGCCCGGTGTCGGATCCCCAGAGCTACCAGCGACTGCTTATCCAATGCTGTCACGTGCCAGGCACTGTGTGGAGCAGCCATAGGAGATATTAGTTTATGTAACCCCCCTAATGATCCTGTGATCTCCCCACTTCACAGATGAGGAAACTGAGGCACAGAGAGACCCACAAAGCCAGGCCACCTGGACCCTGCTCTGCCTGTCCTTGAAATACCCAAGGTGTCAACTGCTCGAATCCCGTTCCTTTTGCTTTTTAAAGCAGTGAAGGCCTCTGTGGAAGCCACACTTTAGTCATAGTCTCCAGAGAGAACAGAAGCAGAGGGCTCTGGGTGAGTGAAGGCCGGGGGGAGGGGGGCATGGGCATGTGGGCCCCCCAGTGCACCCCGAGGTTCCTCAGTGGGAGTGACTAGGAGCCCTGTTCTGGCCACATCGGGCTCCTTGTGTGTTTCCCCTCGCTCCATCCCGATCCCCAGGCAGCGCTGCGAGCTCCCCAGAGCTGGGCCTGGCTCCTGGCACACTCCCCCAGCCTGGGATGCTCACCCGAGGTGCCATCGCCCCGGTAACCAAGCCATTATCATGACTCACCAGGAACGAACGAGGCATTCTGGGGGACTGACACCCCATTTTTACCAAGCTGTTTCCAAGCCTGCCTTTCGCAAGTACTCCCTCTCTCTATCATGCTCTGCGTGAACAAACGCTTTTCAGAACACAATCTCCCCCGGGATGCTCAGAGGAACTCTGTAAAAGACGACCTTTCCAATGAGGAAACGGAGGCTCAGAGCGGTGAAGTCACTTGCCCAAAGTAACACAGCCAGCGGGAGGTGGGGCCGGGGTGCAAACACGGGCAATCTGACTCTAACCCTGTCCTCAAAACCACTGCCCCACACGATGCGCGCCTTCCCCACGCCCCTAGGATCTGAGCAGCCTCCCCACGGAGCATCTGTGTATCTCTGGGTACCAGGAGGCGCTCGGCCTCTTTCATCATCGTGGACCTCGGTGGCCACCGTGTCCGTCTCCGGCTCCGCAGCGCCACTGCCCATCAGCCACTAGCCACCTGCTGCTGTTTAAGTTTTAATTCAGATTAAGTTAAAATCTGAGCCCCTCGGTGGCACGAACCACATCTCAAGCGCTCAGCGGTCACGTGGGGCCAGCGGCTACCGTATCAGACAGGGACCACGCCCATCAGCACAGACAGCTCCCCCTGGACACAGCTTCTGTCACTATCAGGTTCACACTGGTCACGAGTGTCTTTTTTTGTCTTTTTTTACCCAAATCTGATGTCAAACTGTTTACAGGTTGATTCATCAACTTGTGAGAGAAGCACAGAGAAAGATGGGAAAAGAGCACCCTTCTGGCCGAAACCGGTTTGGCTCAGTGGATAGAGCGTCGGCCTGTGGACTGAAAGGTTCCGGGTTTGATTCCGGTCAAGGGCGTGTACCCTGGTTGCGGGCACATCCCCAGTGGGGGGTGTGCAGGAGGCGGCTGATCGATGACTCTCTCTCATTGATGTTTCTAGCTCTCTGTTCCTCTCTGTAAAAAAATCAATTATACACACACACACACACACACACACCGTATTTTCCGGCGTATAAGACGACCCCCTAATTTTACAGTTAAAACATAGGTTTAGGCCTATATTCGCTGTATAAGACTACCCTCCACTTCAAAGAAAAGACTTACTTTGCCACCAAGATCTGCAGGTAATTTTTGTGCAATTTTGGTCTTTTGCCCCCGATTTTCGGTTGACTTTTTTTCGTTTCAAAAGTCGTCTTATACGCCAGAAAATACGTGTGTGTGTGTGTGTGTGTGTGTGTGTGTGTATATATTTTTTTTTAAGAGCACCTTTCTTGCTACTGAGCTTTTGGGGTGTCTGGATTCTCCCCCACTCCCCCCTCCCCGGGTAGTCGGGCCGACACTGCTGAGAAGGGTGCGCGCCGGGCGGGATCCCGGCCCCGCCACCCACCTACCTAAGTGGCACCGGATGCGGATGTTGGTGGGCCCGTAGTGCTCCGTGATCACGGTCCCGGGGCTGAGCACGGAGATGCACGCGTTGCCAAACACATTGTTCCCGATACAGGTCCGCAGGCTGCCGAGCAGGCGGTACGTCCGTGGGCACCTGCGGCAGTTCCCGGGCACGCACACGCCCTGGTTGACCAGGTAGAAGGTGAGCCACTCGCCGCGGGGCGTGCTGTTGAGCTTCCAGCCCTGCGGCAGGCCGCAGTTGGAGAAGCCCTGGGACAGCGCCTCGAACTCGCCCAGGATGGCGGGAAAGCCGCGCTCCAGCAGCTCCACGTCGTGCCGCTGGGCGTCCCGGGGGAAGTAGGGCGCCGTGGGGAGGTCGGGCAGGAAGAAGACCTCGGGCCTCTGGATGGAGGGCCGGCCGGTGAGGTAGCGGCCCTGCTCGCGGATGCCCTTGTGGATGCGGCCCATGCCCGACCAGGAGTAGCGCTTGGCGTACTCCTGCAGGTTGTGGTAGAGCTTCTGGTTGAGGCCCTCGTGGTGGGCGCAGCGCACGCACTCGGGGGACTGGCAGTACGCGTACCCGTTCTGCAGCCCGCCGGCGTCCCCGCCGCCCTGCAGGAGCGAGGACACGGAGGCGTAGGGCCGCGGCTGCTCCCGGCCCACGTGGTAGCAGTACCAGGCGAACAGGACCAGCAGGCAGGCCACGGTGGCCACGGCCGCGGTGTCGCAGTCCCGCACGGACTGGATGCCCGTGGCGATGCAGTCCCGCAGGCCGTCCAGCGACCAGCTCCAGGCCGCCAGCCACGCGAGCGACATCGTGGGGGAGCGGCCTGTTGGTGTGGGTGTGAAGCAAGGTCAGATCGGTCAGTCCTCCGGGGTCCCCGGGGCGCCCGCACTCGGCAGGTTAGCGCGGGGCAGCGGGGGCGGGGGGCGGCATGGCTGCCCCTGTTCCTCGGGTCCCGCCAAGGGTGGCATTGGCAGGCGAGGCCGCCTGTGCCCACCACCCCACTCTGGGCAAAAGGGGCTGTGGGCAGAGCGGCAGGAGCTGCTTGGTGTCACATCAGCGAGCGGTGTTGATCACTAGGAAACGATTTTTTTTTTTTAAGTCCAAACCTGGATGAAAAACAAAACAAAACAAAACAAAACACAGCATAAGTGTTTACGCCGGGAAAACTCCTCACGTGAAATGTGAAGTCCCAGATCGTTTTGAAAGGTCCTTGCTGGTGGGGGATACACACTTCTCAGCCTTGTGTATTCTCTCCCCACTTTACCACCACCCCCATTTCCCAAAAGACCAGCGGTGTTCCAACTGCATCGAGTACTGTGTGACTATTATAGCCATCCCATGCGTTTCACAGCTTTCCTAGGAGCTACTAGTGTTCCCATTTCACAGATGAGGGCACTGAGGCCCAGACATCCTACAGCTCCCCGAAGTTCCTGCGGCCACCAAGGGCTCACAAATCCCATGACTTCAAAGCGGTAGCTACCCATTCTGCTATACTTTCATTGTAGCTATTTAATAAATGCTTACCCCCTTCACTCTCTGTCCCCTTAAGAGAGATGTGGGCTCACAGAGCATTTTGAAAAACGGCAAAGGCACTTTAAGATGGCCTATTTTGCACTTCGCTGTTTTCCTAGCCCGCCATCGTTCTTATTTCGTCCCCCCTGCCCTCCTGGCACGGGATGAGCTTCAGTGAGACTGGAACAGGAAGTGGGCGCCCTGGGGTCCTGGCAATGGCGGACACTGGACATTTCACCTCTCACTTGGGAGACTCCTTGCCATGAAAGTGGCACGCTGAGAGGGAACGGGAGTAAAAGCCTTTCCGGTCTCTGACCGTCTCCACACACACACACAGACACTCTCCCACGTGTTTTACCGATGGCCAGGGTCACTGTCCAGCACCCTGATTGTCCTTAGAACCTGAGGTGTGATCAGGGCACAGCAGCCACGCTGCCCGTGTCTATAAGGTCCTCATCATGTTCCCCAGCCGAAACCCGCCAGCCACCTGCTGTTCCTGACCCGATGACAACAGCCAGGTCTATGCGCTACTGGGTCCCCCTCATCGAGAGCGACTAAATAACTCAGACAATTCGTTTTGTGCTCTGCCCTCCCCCTCCTCTCTCCGGAAGGTGAGAGAGTAACGGAAAAATGTGGGAGGGCTAGGCCCTCCCCTGTCAGGACCACATGTGGCCTGAAAGTTCTTGCCATGGAGCAGAGATTAAGAACAGGTCACTGCCCCTCTCTCAGTCTCAGTTTCCTCATCTGTAAGACGGGGGGGATGCTCCTCTCGCTGAATGAGGATGAATGACGGATGTCGAGCACTTCCGATCGTGTCGTGGTGAGCATTCAGTATGTGCGCTGGTGACTGCTGTGACATGTGGCATCCGCCTTGCTTAGCCAGCAAAACCAAAGGTGGGGCCTCAGGGAGAGATAAATCAGGACAGGAAATTCCAGCAGCTACAGGTAGATTCTGGACACTCTTGTGGCCACACGCCTCAAGTGATTTTTTATTTATTCTTTGTCTCCAGCCTTGCAAAGCCAAAAACGAAAAGGGAAACCTTAGGTGATCACGCACTGCCTCTTTGCATCCTCCCAGCTTAGGGAAGGAACATGGAACCACGTGACTACGGTGTACAGGAAGTCCAAAACACACGTGCTGCATAGTCACGCGTGGTTTTTATGTTTCTATAATAGTTGGGGAGGTTAGGCGCACGCTAATTTTTTTTTTTTCCTCTCACGTGTTCTTGATTTCATCACAGACGTGGGAGATGAGGGCAAGGCTGGGCCCCACGGGCTGGAAAGAGACCCCTCGGGGCCCCTGGTTCTCTCCCAGTCCTACCGCGACAGGCAGCTGTTTCCTCTCCAGATGGGAAGGAACATTTGGGTGAAAGGTGCTTTGTTTGCAAGCCATCTCGCCACAGAACCCCGGGATTCCCCAGCGCCAGCGTGAAACCGTCACCTGCACGGCAGCAAGCAGCTTGGACTCGAAGGGATTCCCCCCATCGCTGAGCTCAACTGCAGCTTGTAAACACCCTCTCTCAGGAGGAGCAGTTTCCTGAAATGTTCTCAGAGTGAGAGGCTGATAATTTGACAAACACCTGTTAAGTGTTAGTTCCCATCAGCCCTGCTCAGCGCTAGAGGTTAAGTCAATCAAAATGAAGATGAGGAGGACAGGGAAGAGGAAGAAGGAATCGCTACACTGAGCCCCCCTCCTGCTTACCCCCTCCTCGGGGAAGCGCCGTTCTGCACAAGGACAGGATGTACAGATCGCTATAGACTGAGCTATAGACAAAAGGCAACAACAGATCCTGACCCCCTGAGCTCCAGGCTCGGACCCTGTTCACAAGATCCTAAACAGAGCTTGAGCTGAAGTTGGGGCTTTTCAGATCTGTCCGTTACTTTTACCCAAAACAGGCAGCCGGGCCCCTGGGCCCAGAGGTGGGTTAACAAGCTCATGGCTGAACCGTGACACTAAAGGTGGCCAGTACATTAGCAGGGTGATTGGCAGTTGATTAAATGTGGGTTCAAACATTTGACCCTCTGGCACCCAGTGACAAAGCCACGTCTCCCATGGATTCCCCCTCCCCCAGCTCCCGTCTCAGTGACCACAGCAACTTCCGGCTTCCTTCACACCTCTGTTCATTTTCACGTTCCGTTTCTGTCCTCATTAGGGAAGGGGACACCTCACTGCAGTTCTGCGCTTCAATAATATGCAACTCCAGATCTTAAAGGTCGGTCTGCTTTGGGGGGAATCAAGTTCAAGTTCATGGCCCATTGGGGAGCAAGTCCAATCCAGTATAACTTCTGATACAATGAACACCTCCCTGGGGGACAGACCTATAGCTCTGACCGGCTTAACCCAGTTCCCAATACCATTCCAGGGGCTTCCCAAGTCTAAAAAGCTTCTGGTCCTTTTTAGGGGTGAGGCCAGGTCACCCCAGAAGCTCCCCAGCAGGGAGCAGGCAGCGCGGGGGGCAAAGTGAGCAAGGCCTGCCGCCCCTCCACCCAGTGGGGACCCGAAGACCTTTCCTCCCCACTTTCTGGGCCAGCTTTCTCAGCATCCACTCACTCTGGGGGAGACTGAGGTTGGGTTCATACAGATGGTGACCATACCAGGAGGTCCGGGGAGGAGGGGGATGGACGGGAAAAGTGGACAATCCGCTAATGAGTAGGGAATAACGAAGCTCGTGTGGATCCCTCGGGGGCAGGGGAGAGGGTTACCGCGGGAAATAGGGGAAGTGGGTGAAGCTCAGGGTTGGGGGGAGGGGAGAGCAAGCAAGGAGAGGGATCCAGGAGGAGGGTCACGGGGAGGCGGCGAGGCGGGGGTGGAGGGGATAAGTAGGAGACCGCGATGGGACGGGGGACGGGGGGCGGGAGGAGGGTGATGCCCCCGACCCGGGCCGCGAACGCAGGCACGTAGCGAGCGCCGGGGAGCTCGGGCCCCTCGCCGGGCCGGGATGTGGGGCGCAGGCGGGCGCCGGCGCCTCAGAGCATCCTCGGCGGCCGCGTCTCCCGGCGCGGGGACCGCGGGCCTGCAGCCGCCCGGCCCCCACCTCCTCCTCCCGCGGAGCCGGGTCGGCCCAGCCGCGCCGCCCTCCCGCCCCGCAGCCTCCCCCCGAGAGAGACCCGCTTACCTGCGCCCGGAGCGCCGGCGGCAGGGGCGACCGCTGGGCCCGGGGCCACTCCGCCGCCCGAGGGCGCGGACGCGCGGACATCCCCTGCCCGCGCCGCGGAGCCTCCGCCGGGCCGGCCGCTGCCCGGGCCACGCCGCGGGACCGAGCGCGAGAGGAGCCGGAGCCCCGCCGGTGCCGACGCCGCGCTCCGCGGGGCCGGAAGGACTACAACTCCCACAATGCCCCGCGCGCGCCGGGGCGGGGCCGGCGGGGCGGCTGCGGGCTGGGACTCGGACCCCAGAGTGGATCCTTGCAGTGACCCGAGGATCGAATCGCGCCGCCCGCTCTGGTGGCTTTTTCGGGAGCGGCCGGGACCTCGTGCAGCCAGACGCACCGCCCGCCCGGCCCGCCGGAGCTCAGCGATCCGTGCAGGGCGGCGCGCCTTCATTCATTCATTCGGTCCTCTCTCCCCGCCGCCCCTCCGCTCTTCCCCTGGGTCCCTCCGCCCCTCTCTCAGGCTGAGTCTCTTTCTCCTCCTCTTCCTCCTTTCCTTCTCTTTCACTTTCTCGCCCTCTTCTTTGCTCGCACTTCCTCCCGCCCTAACATCCTTCTTCCTTTACCGATTGAGTCAGCCTACACGTAGAAGGCCTCTCCGGCACTTGGGATGAAACTGCAAATCAGGGTCCGTGGTCTCACGGAAACCTCATTCGTTCAATACAAACAGTAATGACGAGGCGCCCTCCCCGTGCCTGGCCCGCTTGGCCCGCCTGGCCCGTGCTCCGTGGTGAACGGTGCAGACCAGGCCCCAGCGGGCAGGGACTCAGTGCAACCAGGAGGAGTCGATGCCCAAGTAATCATAGGTGTGCCAGGTGTGCCGGTGAATAATGCGGATTTTTTTCCCCAAGAGATGGAGTTACACATATGTTGATAATATGTGATTTGATATGTATGCTGTTCTGTTGTATTGCTCCTTTCAGATGACCGCTTTGTTCCGATCGATGGCACGCGCTTTCTGAGCGGCACTTCAAAACGCAGGAGGAAGTGGGAAATGGGGTCTCTGAATGGTCTGCCTCAAAACAAGAAAAGTTCTGTTCGGAGGGTCTCCACAAGTTACCTGCAAGGCGGGGGAAATGGGTAGCTAGCAATTACTTTGAATAAAGCACTTTTGATGTTTCTCTTGAAATTATGTTTTCTTTGATTACAAAAATCTGCATTTTTAACCGGTACCCGCATTTTTAACCGATGAACAGCTACTTATAACCGGTTAAAGATGCGAATACCGATTAAAAATGCGGATTGGCTATTGACCAGTTAAAAATTGTGTAAGTATCAACATATGTGTAACCCCATCTATTGAAAAAAGTCCGCATTAACTGGCACACCCAGTACCTGTGATCACAAGCCGGGTGGAGTGGGAGAAAGAGAAAGAAGGCACTGGACAGGAGAGAGAAGGGGAGAAAGGGGGCTCATGAGGGCGAGCATGGAGGCCATAGGGAGGCCTCTCTGAGGGCGTGATGTTTGAGCTAAAGCCTGTGCGGGGGAAAATAAGCGAACAGTGACGTGGGACCTTTAAGGGCTCCAGCAGTGCTATGCGTGGCCAGGTTCTGGGAGCACGGAGTGGGACGGCTGGCCCACTACCCATCTGTTCCCATCCCACAATCCACTGGTTGCTTTTCCAGAATGCACCCCCTCCCTGTCTCAGGACCCAGCACTACCCTGAATCCACCTGGTCCCTGATCTAAGACCCACCTCTGCCAAGTCCCGGAATCCACCTCACCCCATCCCAGAATCCACCTTTACCATGACCCAGAACTCACCTCTACGGTATCCCAGAATCCACTTCTTTCCCCCGGTCTCAGAACCAACCTCTGTCATGTCCCAGTATCTACCTGGTCCCCGCCCCAGAACGCACCTCTATTCTGGCTCAGAATCCACATCTACTGTGATCCAGAGTCCACCCGTGCCAAGACTTCATCCCTTTTCTCAACCCACAGCCGGGAGGACTCTGTTTCCCTCTTATTCTGCTGAAATAAGCCCAAATGCCTACAGAGCATCAGGAAATCGTAACATGCGTCTGGATCTGCTCAAAACGTGGGCGATCCACAGGCATTGGGTTTAGAAACATTTAAACAAACTGTCTCATGCTCAGCCTCAGGGGTTGAGCCTGGGAAGGGTGGAGAAGGTGGCAGGCATTCTTTGGCCGGTGCATTGACACTGCTCTCTATTCATTTTTTTGTTGTTTTAAAAATATATATATATTATTGATTTTTCACAGAGAGGAAGGGAGAGGGATAGAGAGCCAGAAACATCGATGAGAAAGAATCATCGACCAGCTGCCTCCTGCACAACCCTACCGGGGATGTGCCCGCAACCAATGTACATGCCCTTGACCGGAATCAAACCTGGGACCTTTCAGTCCGCAGGCCGACGCTCTATCCACTGAGCCAAACCGGTTTCGGCTCTGTACTTGTTAAGAGTATTCATCTGTTCAATGGTAACATTGCCACGCACACATTTCGCTAGCTAACCTTGATTGTCATTTCTTCCTCTGGGAGCCTCTGGGGAGTGTGTTTCCCCGAAAAAGGGAATCTGGGCATTCCAGAAGGGGCTTTGGGGTGAGAGCTCCAGATAAGTTACCGCTGCGCTAATGGAGGAGCTGAGATAAGGGCCAAAATGCATCTGAACTGTCTGCCTGCAGCTCAGCTGCCACCCGCGCCCTCCCCCTCTCGCTGTCTTCCCGAGGGCAGCTGCCGCCGACCCACTGTGAGGCTGCCCGAGCTGTCATCCTGCCATCTCAGAGCTCACGGGGCCCCAGTCTCCTCGTCCTCCGGATGGAGTCACAGAGAGAAAGCCTGCTCTGCTCATTCAGGGTCACAGCAAGTCAGCAGGCAAATGTGAAGACCCTTGAGGGAATGCTTGATTGGTGCACGAAAGAACCTATAGAGTGATTTGGTACCTTTCAGTCCGCAGGCCGACGCTCAATCCACTGAGCCAAAAGGATCTAAATGCTCAGGGAACACAATCCAAAAAGGACAGATGAGTTACTAGGATCACCTTTCTCCCCCGTCCTTTCACCACGGGGTCCCTTTCCTGGAGACAATCCTTACAACCAATCTCTTATGCTTCTGCCTGGGAAAATGCTATGCATTTGCACACACACGGAAATATTTTAACTTCCAGGAAGGAAATATGAGTACGTTCCTAATGATATTAAAAATGAGTTTAGCCGAAGCCCATTTGGCTCAGCGGTAGAGCGTCGGGTCTGCAGACTGAAAGGTCCCAGGTTCGATTCCGGTCAAGGGCATGTACGTTGGTTGCAGGCACATCCCCGGTAGCGGGTGTGCAAGAGGCAGCTGGTCGATGGTTCTCTCTCATCGACGTTTCTGGCTCTCTATCTCTCTCCCTTCCTGTCTATAAAAAATCAATAAAATATATTAAAAAATAGATTTAAAATTATTTTTCAAGAGTGAAGAATTGTTTAACTCCAGAAACTCTTTATAGAACGCATCGCATGAACAAGTTAAAGGACGAGAGCTGCACACCCGATAGGTGCGGAGAAAAGCATTGGACACGATCTAACATCCACCCACGACTAAAAACTCCCAGCGAAGAAGGAATAGAAGGAAGCTCTGTCCATTGGATAAGGAACCCCTGTTTCCTGGTGCCCGCGCGGTTCAACAAGGGAGAGGGGCAGAGAGGGCTGGCAGGTGCTGAGGGGTTCTCTCATTTGCTTCCCTCTGAGCCGCTTGCCCTTCATCAGCTTGATCTCTTGGCCATCTGGAACGTGGCCTTCTGCAAAAAGATCCGAAGACTGAAACGAAACACTGTAAGTCAAACAAATGTCGGGAAGTTTTTCTCCGGGAAAGATCAGAGTAAGCCGGAAATTCTAGGCACAAGCTTGCGTCCCCCTCCAGAGGCACCCGTCACGCTCTGGTTGGTTGGCACAGACGGGTGTGTCATTCCATCCACCCTGAGAGCAGAGTGCCACACTGGTGTGGTCTCCAGGCTGAGTGTGTTCCAAGAACCGATCTGAATCACCTGGAGCGGATCCGGTAAAGTGCTGCTAACGTCTCTTTAACTTCGGACGGAAGATGGTGAACTTCCTGCTTCCAATGCAAATCGGCAGAGCCGGACAGGAGCCTGCGGCTAGGGAAGCCCAGGGGGGTGGCTGGCTTCACCCATTAGAGTAAATGAATGAATTAGCCTGGCTCTCACCTGTTTCTGCCTTCCCCAGGGCCACCGCCCCACCTCACCCCCCCCCCCCCCCCCCCCCGATCTGGCTCCTTCATTACCTCCATCTCTAGAGGCTCTGGAGTCACTTAGGGCAGGCATGGGAGGCGGTGAGAGATCCTCCACGTCTCTCTGATGGGAAAACAGACATGAGGACCAGGGTCAGGCTCCTAAGATCTTTCCAGGGAATCAGGCCACCTGCTACCAAACCTGGGATGGAATTCTACCCCTAAGGGAACTAGTATACTATATACTATATATATATTGTATATATAGTATAGTATATTATTGATATTTTACAGAGAGGAAGAGAGAGGGATAGAGAGTTAGAAACATCGATGAGAGAGAACCATCGACCAGCTGCCTCCTGCACACCCCCCACTGGGGATAGGCCCGCAATCAAGGTACACACCCTTGACCGGAATCGAACCTGGGACCCTTCAGTCCGCAGGCTGATGCTCTATCCACTGAGCCAAACCAGGTAGAGCCCTGCGCAGGGCTTTTAAAAATCGCCAACATGTAAAAATGAGGAGACGGCACATAATAATCCGGATTTGCCGCTTCTCTTGAAAAAATGGCAAAAACAGGCCTCTATGGGCTCGGTTTCTGCAAAGCAGCCAATTGGCTGGGAGGGGGTTTGTTCCAGCTCCACCTGCTGCCCATCGCTCCCCAGCCCAAGGGGCTGTCACTGGCCTCAGTCATTGACTTCAGGCTGTGTGCCCGTGTGTGTGTGTGTGTGTGTGTGTGTGCCCGTGTGTGTGTGTGTGTGTGTGTGTGTGCCTGTGTGTGCCTGTGTGTGTGCCTGTGTGTGTGTGTGCCTGTGTGTGTGTGCCTGTGTGTGTGCCTGTGTGTGCCTGTGTGTGTGCCTTGTGTGCCTGTGTGTGTGTGCCCGTGTGTGTGTGCCTGTGTGTGCCTGTGTGTGCCTGTGTGTGTGTGTCTGTGTGTGTGTGC